TTTATATTGCCCACTGCATTGGTCTGAAATTTAAATTTAACACGCTATATGCATAAAATCTAATTTAGATAGTAAAATAAAATTTTAGTCAAACCTCAAATGATATATTTATAATAAATGTTATCTTTATATAATTATACAATTTTAATTTTGATAAAATATTGAGTATCATACTATCATAGTAACTAGTGAAATCGATTTATTACTGAAAAAATATCCATAAAATCCAAAAAATATATCCATATTATTTCGTATAATCCCTATAAGTTAGTCTTTAATTTTTATTAACTACTATTGCACGCGAATAAATTATTTTAAATACTTTTATAGTTATCTTATTATAAAATGAACTTTTTACATGAAGGTAAGTAATTATATAATAATGTAGATATTATTATTTAAACATATAAATTTATATTTTAAAATGTGATATAATAATTAAAAGTTAAGTTTTTCTTATTAAAATAGCTTAAAATACTAAAAAGTAACAGAAAGTAACGCTTGGTGAATATATATTTTTTTTAACAAAAAACATATTAATTAATAATCAATTCCAATGACTTTTGTTTGCCTTAATTTGCCTATGTGATTTTGGATCTCATTTAAAGCTAGTTCCAGTAACGGTATAGAAATTAAAAATACAACAAGTTATGTTAATGAATACCTAACCAGATTATTGTGTATGTAGATAAGATAACTTTAAAAAAAAAAATTAAGTTTTATGTTTTACAGGTAATTCTATTGTAAATAAGTCCATATTAATAAATGAATAAAACTAGCATTATTGCAAAAAATATACATTTTGTGAAAATTCAAGAATATCCCCTTCTGCCCCCATTAATTAAGGGTATTGATTTCAAAATTGATAACGAATTTGGATTCAGTACCCTTCTAAATATATAGTTTGATGTTAAATATGTAAGTAATATGTAAGTCACTTTTAGAAGTCAAATTTAAGAGGTATTAATTTTATGTAAGCTAAATATTCATTTTAGACGACTGTGCACCACTAAATAGATTCAATGCGATTATTTGTATATTAGATATCTGCATATAGCAATATATCTTCGTTATCAAAAGCGGTTGACTGTAAAAAATCTGTTACTGTTAATCCCACACGACATCGCTGTACAACACCCGTGGTTTACAGGAGGTTACCATTATATTAATATGGTTTCAGTTGGTACTTAAATATTGGATCATAAGAATAATGTTGTCAAATTATCGTATTATCGGCGATGAATAAAAATAAAAACAAATCAACATAACGTGTCCGTCCTGAGTCCTGACCAAATCGTCAAATTTTTGAAAATAACTGTGTATAGCGCAAGGACGATGGACACATTATTATTGCTTCAGCAAACTCTTGTGTAATTTCAAGTTTGGATGTGTGGGTAGGTATAGGCAGGAATTTACACTCATTATATGTATTTACATAATTACCTATGCAAATGTTAGTAGGTTATATTATATTAAAAAACAACAACATAAATGTTTTAGCAAAAAATAAATAAATAATGATTCAACAAATCGCACACGACAAACTCAATGCTCTATACTAAAATTGACCGAAATAAAAACTATACATATTATATAAAATGTTTTCTTAATAACATTATTGTTGAATATTTTTTTTACCCCGTTTCAAATGGAAAACACAAAATTCGCATCGCATATGAATTTTCGGAAATACCCGATCGAGTATTGAGTATTGAGTAAATCAAATATTTGCCGTTGTAAGAAAAGGTGGTACACTTGCAAAAGAGCGAAATGATTGGTAGAAAAGTTGTTCACAAAAAAAAAAAAAACATCATTGTAAAACCAATACATTCGTCACTACGCCCAGAATCTAAAAGTAAAGCAATCATCAACAAATTAAATACAATTGATCAACACTTTAATTAAATAAGTGAAATCAAATTAAATTACACAATTACATTAGGTACCTACACTAAAACACTGTACAATAAATGTTAATCTTTTTAAAATAATTAATTTGTATATATTTTAATATTTTGTTCTACGATATTGTTTAATATTTTTTTTGTAATTAGTATTGCACAATTTTTGAAAAAAATTATTTTCTCCATCACTCATAATTCTATATCAGTTAACAAACCAATTTAGCATAGTTATATAATACTCATAATAGTTATAAATATAAAACCGATCATAGGAGGCCATTCGAGTGAATGTATTTTCTAAAATAGGGACGCGATTCGAGTTGGTAGATAACCGTTTTTAGAAAAAACGTCATGCGAGTCAATAAGAAGGTCGAATTCGAGACAATAATAATTCAAATGTGCCCGAGGCCATCAGATAAAACAAGAATTGATGGAGGGATGTGATTAAAAATCATTTTACTCCAAATAGTTGCCAAATTTGTCGACTTCAAAAAATGATTTTACCTATTATTTTATCCATCGATGAGTAATAAATTTGATGATAGTCAATAATAATAATGTATCGCGATAATCATGTATAGGTACTTACCTAATAATTAATAAAATACAAAAAACACTAAGAAATTATTAGTTTTGCCGACTTTAAGGAAAGGGTGGGGGTAAAAATCCCCTTAGGAAGATAAAAAAAAAAATCTGAAACACAATTAGGAAGGCATTTTGATTTGAATACGTATAAAGTTTTTGTTTGAAGAAATTTCGGTGTTGATATTTTTGATTTCCTTTAACCCGTTGACTATGTATTACATAATGTATGTAATACATTAGTGATGGGAATTCGAATGAAATCCGGATTTTTCAATAAAAAAAACGCTATTCAAGCCACTTGAAAATATTAAAAATATTAAACATTATTACAATATAAAGCTGTGTACATAAGTTAAATGTTTGGATAAAAATTCGAAAAAAAAATTCTTAACTTTAACTATATTTTGGATTTCGGATTTCAACAAATTCGAAATCCAAAAGCGGTTTAATTTTTTTGGTGTTTTGTACTTTGTACATTTTTATAAAAAAATATTGTATTTAGGTACCTGCACAGCCTTATACTGTAAAACTATTTAACACTCATATGATTTTTAAGTGACTTAAATTGCTATTTTTTTTTTTGAAAATCCGGATTTTCGGATTCCCATCACTATTATACATACACTATTAAGTTAATTTGAGTAATAGGACAGTAGAGGGGCATCATTTTTGATGCCGCAAAATTAATTCAAAACTAAAAGTTCACAGGTAGGTATATATATTTATGGAGTTTTTGGAATTCCGCATCGTATGCTATCTACACGAACGTTGATCGCGTTGTATGTTATCTACGTCTCAGGCAATAAATGTGGGTCAGACGTTGACTGTGTATTTTTAATACGTCATAAGATTGATTATAATAATACTAATATCGTATCAATTAATGATCGTAGGTATAGTTGCGTATAATTTATGTTATTACTGGTCAAAACCGATTTCGGGATAAACTAGTTTATTCTTTACACCAGACCAGTGGCGTATATATAACTTTTGTATGGAGGGAGGAGGGAGGTCAGTGTTTAGAATTTAACCTTTAAAACACCTATATACACACGATATACTTATATTATAGTCTACCGATACAGAACATTAAATCTACTCCATCCCGTTCAAGATTTTAGATGCTGTGTATGAGTGGACCTAGGAATGTAATAGTTTTATAATGATGTTTATTTTATCTGTGGATTACCTTTCTATAAGAAATCTTGCTCCGATTTACAAGTGTATCGCTTTTTCAGAAATAAAATCTGACTGGGGTGGTACTGTAAGGAGGCAATTTTTTTGATTTCACCAAGAGTTTTCCCAATAAACGGGAAAAACGGGAAAATAGGTACAGTATTAAACAAATGTTGATAAAGAAAATATACAATGCATTTGTAAATATTTGACCATAGTATGACATACAATGTTGTATTGCTGACAAAGCAACACTATCAACCGAATTCCGCTCAGAATCGTTTTTTTCGCAAACAGATCGTTGCTTACAGATATACCTACATGGCTACATTAAATTCCCTATAATAGTGGCTGCCACCCGTCCTCATTATCCTAGAATAGTTTTTTTTTTTGAATCGTTTTGTTGCACCAATAATACAAGTTAAAAGAGTAGTTTTCAGACGTATAGGAAAATTGACTATGCGTCAAGAGTTGGAGTATAAACTTTTATATAACATAACTTCAATAATTTTCTAACCATTAACCACCCGCTCCAATTTATAGACTGAACACCTGAAAATTCGGCATCACGCCGTCACTGCTGTACACGTCAGATATTCGCCTATAATAATAATAATAATACGCGTACGCAGTTCGTATACAGCATTATTATTATCACGTGGGTATCTATCGACAAAATGTTTTGTGTTTTCGACACGGGTCCAAATAAACATTATATAGAATAATGAAAATAAGTGCCTAATAACAATGTGTGTGTGTGTGTGTGTGTGTGTGTGCGGTGTTTGTTTTCTATAAAAATTATAGCGATAATAAAATAACATTAATATTTATTGTACACGGTTCCAAAAGAATAATACGCGATATTATGATGTACCGTGTAGGTAGGTACTTATATGGCTGTATAATGTTATTACTTATATTACAATAATAATGGCGCGTGTATTAATATAATACAGCAGCTGTAACGGCGACGCGTAGCTCTCCGAATGCCTATAAGTATACACCCGGTCGACTAAACCATCAACGCGACGGTCAATATTTTTTTTTTTACGCTATTACAACAATATTCCGAGATGCGACCTTGGACAAGCGTTTTTTTATGGTGCAATCGAGTAATCTGTTCTAATTTTTTTTTTTTTTATCTCTCTGTCCGTTTCTACTACGGCGGCGGCGCGGTGATCAGCCCCTGCCTACCGACCGCCACAGTTCTTTGGGCGGGGAGGGGGACACTCAGTCAACTCGGTCAGCTGACTGACGGACGGCCCATCGACCGATCGCCAATATCATACAGAAACACATTCGGGGGATTGGAGAGAATACCTAGTGTGTGTGTGTGTATGTGTGTGTGTGTGTGTGTGATGTGTGGAATCTACATTGGAAACTGACGGCCGCGGTGGATGATAACGCGCGTTTACATTCAACGGGGTCCCAACGCAGTCAACATAACAGCCGACGCCGTGTTGTTATAATGATTAATGATTACTATAAACAATCGTATAGTCATACGAGTCGGTAAGCGTATTGAGAACCGAGTACAATAATAAACAAATTTAATTGAATTTAGAACCCCAGCGAGTGTATTTGTAACGACTGTAACAACAATATTGTCATGACGTACTACCATAAATATTAGTACGTAGCACGTTGCTAAAAATAATATTATCACGGTTCACGAGTACCCAGGTACTTATTATTATTTTTTGTTTTTCCGAACAATTATTATTATCGAGCTATTTGCCCAGTTCAAGCCGTTCGTTTATGCGCGCGCATTGTCGCGTGTACCTATCGTTTGGCGTATGTGCGTGCGCGCCGCACTGTGCACACTAGTCGTTTCTAACCGCATCGCAACAACAACAACAACCGTAGATAACAGAACAACAATTATTATACAACATTACAAATGCCAATAATAACGAAAACAACTATAGTCGTGCAACAGCAGCTCAGTTGTAGTATCAGCCGAGAATAATAACAACGTAGGCGAGTCCGTTGTACAGTTCCGGGCCCCCCTCAATGACCATCACGGTAGTATCGCCGTCGTTAATAACAATAACAATTCCCCTCTTATCATCGTCCACAACGGTCGTGCCGTCGCCGCCGCCACCGTCACTGCAACGGATTCAGTTTTTCCGAAGTAGTGTCGCGTCGCAGCGGTGTTCCGTCGCTGTTTCCCGAGACCAGACATGTAAAACCGTCACGATGGAATCCCGATAAAGGCCCTGCTGCCCGCCCCTCCCCCCCTCGGCCTGTCCCGTCCGGCGGACGTCAATGAACGGCCCACCGTCGCCACCCATTAATCGGGCGAAAAATCATCAAGACGACAACAAGGTAAGTACGGGGAAGCATAAAAAATCGTACGTCCGCAGTCCTTGGGACGGTTTTATCGTCGTACTTAATTTAAACGCGGGACGCACATTAATAATAATTATTCTGTTATCCTAATAAAGGCCTTGCCAATCGTGACAATAATAATTAATTCGCGATCTGGTTGACGGCGGCGACCAGAATGACGAAACTGTTGCATCACGTTCGTCGTCCGCGATCAGCCGTTTTTCCCGATACCGATCGTTTCCGGTGTTTCCCCTTTGTCGGGTTTCCCTGCCCGATAAAATCGTGCGCAGTCGCCGCGGCCTTTATCGCCAGCAACGGAGGGTGGGGGAGCATCGATCCATGCTATGACGACGATTCCGCTTTCGTTCTCGTCGTACCCAAGCGGACATTTATGGAAAAAAAAAAAAAACACCAAAATAACGATTTCCACTCGAAATTTCACTCTTACCACCCACCTACTCGCGTATACCCGACGGGCGTACTGCAGTGGCGTCGCGAAAATCAAACGGGGAGTGTTGCAGTCGTTGTACCTACGACGTATTCGCGTTCTGGCCCTGAAATCATTGACAAAGCTTATTTTTAGTACCTACTTAATACAAATTATGCACACACAATCCGGACTACTGTTTTATGTTACATATTGTATTATTATTATTGTTACTACTATTGTTATCTAACGATATTTGGTTGGGAAAGCGCCACTGTTCAAAATGTTTTTGGTTTTTTTCATTCTGATGGTTATTTATCTGCACATGTTTTTATTGCATATTTTTCTTTATCGTTTTACAATCCGAGTGATCCGGTTATACTTATTAATAATATCATTACGATAATGTAAGATTAAATTAGTTTATTCATTATTTTTTTTCACATTGCATTTATATTTCGCAAACGAAATATAATATTCATCTGATTTGCATACGTCGCGTACCAAACTATCCATGATTTCGGGGGGTTTTTTTTTTTTCTTCAAATTAAATAAAATGAAAAATTATTGAAACCGTCATACTATCATTTTATTAAGTTCATATTATTATTATACCTACCCATGTTCGTCGATGATGCACACAATAAGGTATATTTCTTATTATCAAATATTATATTGTTTATTTTATTTTATTTAGCTACATTATAATAAATTTATTTGAATAAATACCGAGATAAATTGGCTTATTGGCATTTCGTTTACAAAACAAGATTATTTCCTTTAATTGTTCATTGTTTTTTATTATTAAATAAATAAAACAGGCATTATAGGAATTACATTTTAATAGGTAGGTTACCAGTACATAGATATTTATTGTTACTAGCTATCTACCTATTAAAAGTAGATCAATATCTACAATGATTATTTTTTAAGGGTATAGGTACCTATATTCATATTGTTGATTGTAATGATTACCTACAAGTAAATTAGGCAATTATAATTATAATTATAATTTTTATTTTTTGTATGTATATATATATACCTGTATAATATATCCATTCATTATAGGTAATACCTATTAGCTACTATAACTTTTAATTATCAATGTACTAAATTATTTTATAATAGGTACTTTTAAGATTAAAAAATATATACTATAAAGGTGCCTTATGTTATTTTAAAATCTACATTACATTATAATATTATAGACATACTATAAAAAAAAAAAAAAATAAATATTAATACATGGTAGAAATGTAGAATGAGTGAAATCCATCTATTCCAGTATACCTATTCAATTCATGTTAGATTTGGAATATAGCGAGAAATGTGAGAAATGTATTGGTTTTACAATGATGTTTATTTTTTTATTTTTCCTTTGAGCAACTTTTCTATCAGAAATATTGATTGAATGTGTCAAGTATAGCATCTTTTTTGAAAGGAAATTTTATCTCCTTGGACCTTGAAGAATAAGGGAGGTCATTTTTTGATTTTCTATTCGGCTTTCATTATAATTGGAAAAAAACGCGAAAATTTACATACATCTATAAAAGAAATTTTACTTCAAATTATTTTACATTATAAATTGTTTATTGTTGTGCATAGATGTAAATTCTCCTTTATGTCCTACTTTCCCTATTTCTCATCTATAACAGTGATTCACCTATCGTGCAAAGTATGTCAGTCTTTTTTAAATGTGAATATTACTTATTTTTTTGATGTATTGTTTCAGATTTTCAAATCGACTATTAAAAATACTTAATATTTAGTATTATTGCGTAATGCAATATCTAAAAAAATGTTTACAAAAATGTACTTATGACAAAGGATTAAAACTACCAAACTAAGAATAGGAAGATATTTTATGAATAAATCTGTTTTCTAAATAAGCATAACTTAGTTTATTATGGAAAACCTTCTAGTCTATCATGTGGACATCGGAAGATGGATTACGTGTGATTTTAACCTGCTAAACAAAACGTAACGTTTTTAAAAATTTTATCACCTACTCATTTTAGTCAGATAATTAGTTTTTTAAAAATGTTGTCTATTACAGAGTAACTGAATTGAAAGTAGAGATTGAAAAAAAGGCTGACATTCCAGTCAATAAGCAAGTTTTACTAATCAGTGGAGGAGGACATCTTGATTCATCTAAGGCTGTATCATGTTACTGTGCCGGGACAGACACAAGTCCGTTCTTTTTGTTCAGCAAACGAATGATTGACCATCCAGATCCACCTTCTGCTTTTTTTGACACTCGACCTGGTAAGTTTTTGTATCTATTTCATCTATACAATATTTAAAATAAGATTAAACCACTTGGATACTAAAAATGTATTACATTCCCGCATTTCCACTATTAGACTGTTCCCACCAATTACTCTTGCACCCTGTAAACACAGAGGCAGCAGTGGTGATAATGAGAACCATTAATTGTTAGAATGAGGACTGGACTTGCTTAGGAGCTCAGTATGCATGTGATACAATTTTATTTTGAATAGAATATTGTCAATTTTTAATAATTACATATGATTAACTGTTTATTAGTCTATCATTTACCCTTTTTAAATTTAAGTGTTAGAATAATATTATATTTGTATGATATATGAAAGGATTGGTGTAGATTCTTTTTCTATTAAAATATTAGGGTTTGTGGATAACCTCAATATCTTAGGTGAAAACTTAAAAAACAAAAAGAAATGCAAAGACAGTGGAATTAAAAGTCAACAAAGAAAAAACTAAAGTGATGGAGACCGTAGGGAAAAAAACAAAATCATTTAGAGCCGGTTCAATTTATTTATCACATGAAAATATTATCATACGATATTATAATTGACATAGTTATAAATTGAGCTGTCCTCATGATCATGATAAAATGTTTTTCGATAAAATAATCATATGATGCCTTGAAAACTGTCGAATGCACTTCAATAATAGTCTAAACAATAAAATTACCATACAGCAATAATTGTTTTATCTACACGTATAAAAATAAATTGATAATAACACAAACAATAATTATTGTTTTAAAACATTCTACTGGAGTCAACTCGGTGTCAAAATCAATTGAATTTGTGGATGAGGATTTAAATATTGATATTAATATTCTTATCAGTGAAATCTAAACAATGTCTTTATTTTGGGATAAAAATTTAAATGATTATTCTGACAGGTACTTAAAAAAATATAGTAAATAAATATAAAAATAAGTGCATTTTTTATTTATGTAATTATTTACTATATTTATTGCAAGTATTAACCATTTTAATAATTTTGTTTTTTGCTTTATTATCTTATTACTTAAAAAGAGTTGCATAGAAAGAAATTTGTATTTATTGTAAAATGCACAATATACAACATATACTGCACACTGCAAATATAGCACACATTGCACAGTTCAATACTGACTACCTATGTAATTTATATATTGTATTAATATTTTTATATAATTCTAGCTGAATAACCTGTGTGCAGTTTTTTTGTATTACCTACAACTTTTATTTATCAGTTTTTATATTACAGTTATAGGGAAGGAATAATTGTGTTGAAAATGTGTAGCCCGTGCCATTTTTTGAATTCTTTATACCTTAATTCCTGTGTTGCTTAGTATAATGGATAGAAAAAAAATAAGTGGATATGAAGTAGTCTTATGGCAGACTATGTGTCATAATATGTTATTTTGGTAGGCTTTGTTGCTAGATTCAAGGTATATAAATAAACAAAATGTAAAATCTTATAATAATAATATCGGTTTTTATAACAAAAGATGATTTATGATTTATGATTATAAAGGTATAGGAGTTGAGTATTAAAACTCTTAAAGTCTATATAAACTTTCTGAGAAAATTCTGATCAAAACGCCACATCACAATTGGATGAGATTCAGATGGATGGGTACCAAAAATACCCGAAAAAGCTATTTTACCTCTTATGGGTTAAATGTTCAAAAATCCTTTCTTAGTGGATACTTTCATCTTAATAGATATCTAATCTATCTAAGATTATTAGAGATCTATATACTATATTTCAGCCAGATCTGTTCATTAGTTTGGGTTAGACCTTGATGAGTTAGTGAGATATTATAGTTGTATAATGAGTACAAAAATAACTAATTAATATTTTGTTGTTAGTTGATTTTAAAAAACAAAAAAAGTCGATTCCTTATAAATTTAATATATTTAATTTGAAAAACTCTAAAATAATGTGGTAATTGGCAACCAATTTTTAAAAACTGGTAACCACTCATCCTTAATTTTTGATAATATGATTACCTGTTATTTATAAATAAGTACCACAAAATTAATGTTGTCAGTAAAAAACTGTTCATGAATGTATTTTACCATGATGTTAATTGTTTTTTAAAAAAAAAAAATGTTTATATTGTGTATAAACATTCTACCAGAAATCTTGCTTCAATATATGAAGTGTAGCACTTTTTTTTAAAGGGAATTTTATCTGGTTGGTTTATACAAGTCATTTTTATGATAATTTCTAATAATTTGGAAAAACGGGAAAATGTATAAAAGTAATGTTCTTATTATTTTTTATTTTATTTTTTTGTTTTTATAGAAACCTTATATTTGCCTTTTCTGGACATGGTAAAATTTTCATAATATTTTAGCCATTTTTGAGCTACTTATAGGCATTTCAATTTTGTGAGTTCTTTATATAATATTTATTCAGTAGGTACTCTGTGAATAAAATTGTTAGACCAAACAGAAATGTTTAAAAATTTAACAGAAGGTTAATTATAAATTGTACTTAGTGGTAAACATGAAAAAGTTGAGTTTAATGTAATATTTTTATTATTTATTAGAGTTTTAATCAAATTGCTTTCATCAAGTTTTTCTAATTTTTTTTATTTTTGCTTAATTATGACAGTTATCACTGACAAAAACCTAGACATTTTAGTTAATTTTTATTTTTTTTTTGTTTGTGGTAAAGCTAGAATTAAAAATAATTGTTTTCCTTTGTATTACATTCCAAGTAATAAACTCTGGAACTTGTATTTGCTCGCTTATCTCTTAATTGGAATGATGGTACCATTAAAATTACCAATATTGTAATATCATGCATTATGGAAAAACTGTTTATAATTCAATTTAAATTTATTTCTAGGTAAAAACAAACATTATAATATGATGTATTTGTGTATTTGGTCATGCTTTTTCTGATTATTTTAATATTTTAAGTGTTTATAATAAAGTATTTAAGAGCTTTTTTCAGTGCTTATTGGGTATTGGGATGATTACAAGTGCTATAAGGTCCAAACCTTGCTTATAAGCAATGAAAAATACAAAAATACTCATAAATTATTATTTTGTATCTGGCCCAATCTACTGTGGTTTTGGTTTACTACTTTTACTGGTCAGATCGAGGATTTTAATAGTTTAAAACCTTCTCCAGACTGTTGATCATTTTGCGAAAAACCCTTGTAAAAATTGGTTCGGTTCAGAAAACATGCTTGACAAAAATTTCCATTTTATATACATATATATAGATTTATAATTATAAAATCTATTTTTTTGTAATTTTCAATACTAATACATTTTTTGATATTTGCATATTTTGGATTATGCATTCCACATTTGAAGAAAAATTAGTACATATTATATTGATTTTTTTTATTACAATAAAATCCGGTGTAAGGTATTATAAATGCATACTACACCCCCCTTTGATCTTTTTTAAAAGTAATTTATTAGAATTTTTTTTTAAATTCAAATTACTACTACAAAACTACTTTTTAGTGAGAAAAATCAGCAATTTAATGTGTTGTTACCTGTAACAGTTAATGTATAAAAAAACCTTAGTGTACCTATACATTTTGTTGTTTAAAACAAAATCTATACAAAGCGCTATAATATAAAGGAGATTAGATAAATATTGTAAATAATCACTTACCTATACATATAGTTATGTATTTGATATTAATAATAATTTTACACCAAATTGAATGATAATTTTGTTTACAAACATAGAATATAAATAAAAAAAAAGTTAATTTTTTTAGACTGTATATACATTCTACAATATGAATAATGTGACATAATTTCTTTAGTGAATATTTTTCTCCTTGATAAAATAATCTTAAATCGGTCACTTTTATTATACTCATATTTTACATGGAATCCAATAGTTTAGTTTATGTTTAGTTGTGTTTTTACCATTTAAATCATCTGTTTATAAAATTAAGGTTTACCTGTAAAGCTGATATATTTTATTTGTAATTATTTATCACTGTAGTTTCTGCATATCTTAATTTAAATTCCTTAACACCAAGGTCATATCTGAAAAGATGGGTTTGAGGGTTTAAGCCTTTGCCCTAAAAATTTTCATGGATTATTTATTGTTTTATTTTCAAGGTAAAGTCTAAAATACTTGTTAAATATGCTACCTACAGTTTTCTTTTACACTTCAAGTATACAGGCTATTCCATGAAGATATACCCTTTGAATATCTCTGGAGGTATTCAAAGGATATATCTTTGTGGGATAGCCTATATTTAGTATTGACAAAATTAATAATTAAGTATGACTAGTTATTATATTTTGATAATTGAGTACTTACTTTCTTCATGTTTGAAGTTTAAAATAATTTATAAATAAATTTACTATTGTAATTTTGGATTATTGTTTCAATCAGTTACGACTAGTGTATATACTCATATTGGTAAATAGAGTGTATGTATTTTACTGAAGTGTTTAGTAAAGTTGACAAATATTTTTTAAATGCATTTTAATTGTTGATGTAATACTTAAATGTTTGCTGAAAATAATTAAAAAGGTAAAATAAAATTTGATTATTAGAATACCTATTTAAATTTTTAAGTAGGTAAGTTACTTAACCAATGTTATTTGTGTTTGTATGAAATAAAAATTGATTTGATTAACTTCCTCTTCCCGAAAATTTAGGCCAGCCTTGCCTGACACCTTGTATTAGTATTATGTACCCTATCTATCTAACTTAGTGTGTACAACAATGATCAAAGACTCATTTAAGTGGTTGAAATATAACTGGTATCATAGGTACTTAATTAAATTTCTAAGAGAGGTCTAAAATTTGTTTAATATTATAAGTAGGTACTAACAAACACCACTGAACTCAATCCTTCCCTCCAATTATGACCTTGGGCTTATGTATTATTAATCAAGCCAGTAACAATAATGTATGAAAAAGTCTAAAAGGGGGGGGGGCGATCGATATGTCACCTCTCCGCCCAAATCATCAATTATGTCATCAGTATTTGCTGATAAAAACCTATTGAATACCTCGGTATCAGTTCTTTTTTTATAAATTTATTTCCTGGTAGGTACTTTTTTTTTTTGGCGCATGCAAAAAGTAAAAAAAAAAACCGGCCGTATTTACAAATTATGCGTAAGTAGTTGTCCTCAATATTTTCACGGGAGTTATTAGTTTATATTAATAATTATTATGTTCGTTGCCCTTGTATTAATGTTGGCTAATGTACGTGAATCGTCTTTTGACCCTGTCGACGGTCGATAGGTTCGCCACTTCGCCATTTCCTTAAAACGACCGCGCCATTTGCCCTTCGGCGGTATTATGTGCTCTCTATTAGTCGTACCTACCATTTAATTTTATGATCCGTTTTGTAACGGTATCTTGTTCATAAATAATAATATAATATATAAGATAATAACTGCTATACATATCTATTATAATTTATTTTATCATCTAAATGTCGACGAAGTTATTACCTATTTATTATACATACTTATACAAGCTATATCTCTACCTCTTAGGTATATCTATTTAAAGAGAGAGATTATAGAAAGTTTTAGCAATACGATAAACACGTGTAGAAAATTTAATAAGTGTCTTCAGAGGACGGTACACGTGTATTTGTTGTTTCCATCTTACTATCACACGATATACCTAGTTAAAACATGCTTACACAGACTACACAAAATACTTTTGGTTTTAGAGTAAAAGCACCTATTATGAAATTAATAGACAACAATTTTCCCGGGGGGGAGGGGGAGACATTGCAGTCTTTCCACTTTCTTCGAATTTAACAGTTAATAAATAACGACTTTTTCAATGGTTTTTAATTCGCCAAAACTTTTTCAAAAAAATGCAATGTCTTGCCCTCTAGAATTAATTCTCTATTAATTTCATAATAGTCGCTTTTTATTCTAAAACTAAAACCAAGTGAGTTCTGTGTAGTCTGGGTAAGCATGTTTTTACAATATCTTGTGTTTATTAAATGGAAACAACAAAATATATATATGTAATGTTCTCTTAAATATAAAGTCCAAACATACACACACACAGATAACAATAATAAAATAATACAATTTTTGTAAATTATAAATAGACACTTAAAACTATTTAGTAGGTTAGCAATAATATTAACTATATAGAATTCATTGTACATATTATTCCATAAATAAGGTTTCATTAATAACTTCAGTGACCTATATAGATTAGATAAATTTTCTTTTTTAGATGTTCAATTTGATTTTTTTTTTAACACTAAACATACTTTATTCAAACTACTTATGAAAAATTACGTATTTATATAGTGATTGACTGAGAAAATAACCAACTCAACAACAAGTTTGAAGTTAATTTTATTTTAATACAATTTTTTTTACTTACATTCATTACTATAGAGTTATCATTATTTTTGTTGTACCTATTGTTTTATTGACATTCAATTATAATAATAATATTCTTTTATTATTTATTGTTCACTTAATATCATTGTAGTTATGATTTATCCACTTGTTGTTTAGTACTTTTAATGCGTTAACTGTTTGATTTAGGTAATTGATTTTGATTGTGTTTTGTCATGTGGGCCAATTTAAATTGATGGCTGTTAATGAACAGAATTAATAATTCTGATTACTATAACAAAACACACAATATACTTGTTCAATAATATTAACAAATTATAAACATTTTATTATTTTTAAAAAACTAAAATTGTTTTAGAATAATACTAAATAATAATAATATTTATATATAAATATATATATAATAAAAGAACAAAATAAAGTTTGGAGAATTATATACTAGTAGGTTGTATGTAAAAAAAAATATTATGTTTTAATTTAAAAAATCATCAGTTAATTGAACATCAGATTCAAAAAAATAATCATAATTCTAACTGTATCTATCTTTAACAACATTATAACAATTACTAATTTTCTCTGTATAGTTTTTCAATAAATTAAATGTTTTTCATTAGTTAAAATCACAGTTATATAATATTATTACGCCAACATTTGGATGTACCAAAACAAAAATATATATATAATTTTTTTGGTGAGCATATCTTTATATTTTATTCATACATGTGTAACAATACCATGGAATCTTATTTAAAAACGTTCAGTTAGCAAGTTTCAATTTTATGCAAATATTCTAGGTATATATATTTTATTTATTTATATGGTTTAAATTGTCATTGAACAAATAAGGTCCTATGGCTGATAAGGAAAAAATCTATATGTATTTTTGCTTTATTTTATTATACACACACACATGGGAAAACAAATATATTTTTTGTCCATCCTAGCCAACATCTACTTTAATATGTTATATAATGATATGTTACACTATGAATTTATGTTTTGTGCTTTTATAAAATTGACATAGACACATTATGTACCCAAACATCATTATTTTCATATGATCTTAACATTCTATTTGAAAACAATTGTTAAACTTAAATACTTAATTATTTTTTAAATTTGTATTTTAGATGTTGACTTCACAAAAGAACACCGCAGAACTCAAGGAATGCCAACAACAATTGAAGCTTTAAATGTTAGAGTTAATCTAGCACAACAATATAGTGAAAATGCTCAATATAATTTAAACTGTATAGAAACGCTTATTAATGATCAACATATGATGCATCAAGGTATCAAATAACACTTTTAAAAATGTTTTTTTTTTTTTTTCTAAAGTTATTTTGTATAACAAGAAATTTAAAAGACTTGTTATATTTTATGATGGTTCCTATAGATTACAATTTAAATAATGTTTAGGTTGGTCTGCTGCTGTCGCAAATATGCTAGAGACCGTTGAAAAATTTAAATTTAAAGCTGACATTTTTGAAAATGATTTTAAACGTTATTTAGATGGACGAGAAGACAGTATTAATTTACTAAACAAGTATGCAGTGATATAATTTTAATTAATATACTACATAATATTATGACCTGTAAAAATATAATGTAGTACACTTATATATTAGTTTGTCAATATTAGTATTTTATAATATATAGTTTACATATAATGTTGAATGTTTTTTGTATACATTTTCAAACAATTAAAAACTATTATTATTATTATTCTTATTATTGTTATTATATGTTTAAATATTGAATCAATAGTTTATATTTTTAAGCATTTCAAATTTTGGTTACCGTAGTAATTAAATAAAGAAATAATTGTATTGCCTGTTGAAATTATATTGCACTACTTTGTTCCTATAATCTTAAAGTATTTATAAATAGTAATTATTGTTTTAATATTGTATATCTATTATCTATATATAAATAATTATGACTATTTTATTACAATAAATACATAAGTACCATTATGTAGGTTTTAAGGGTTTAGCTTCCCCTAAATTACTAATATTCTAACTACAAAAAGTTTATAACAAATCAATTATATAAAAGATTCAGCATTCAGTATTTTAAAAAGAATATCTTAAGAAGAGTAATACAATTAAAGAATATAAAACATTACCAACAGGCTTAGAATACGCATATTTTCATAACAAAATAACCAAATATAAACTAAACTATGCACCAATCAAATACAATGGTTTCTATGGTTTATACAATAGAAAAAAGCACAATGTTAACTGAATTATTAAATTTGTTGGTAGTTAATTAATAAAAAATTAATAATTAACAATAATTTAGTTTTTATTAATTATTAATTTTTCTCTTTTCATATTAATTTCAGCCAACTTTTCAATAAAAACAATACAACATGATAATTTAAATATTTCACCTTTAAAATTATTCCTATATCTTAAAAATTACTTGAAAATAATCACTAAAATTTAGATAATATGTATATTTGATTAAATATCAAAAGTTCCTTAGCCTAATTATTAGGAAATAATAAAATATTATTTTAAAAGTAATTCTATTTTTTTTCAGTTTTAATAATATTTTGATAGAAATTTCAAAAATTCCTTTACTACCAGCATTATTGGAGAATAATTTTGAAGAACGAGCTCGTATGGAGGATTCAACAGCTAATATAAAAAATAAATCATTGCTTGAATGGGTCACTGCCTGTCAAGGTTTATCAAATTTGGAACATATTGTTGAACATTGTGAAAATAGTCTAAAACAGGTACTTTTATAACTTTTTCTCACTCAATAGAGTATTTTTGGAAGTTTGCCATACAAATGGTGACCAATGGGGTGAGCATATTTAAAACCACAAATAAAATATTAAAAAAAACATTTATTTAATCACCTCTCACTTCCTCTTGCATTTTTCTAAATTTTGATAAACAAACACATGAGGAAATTTTGTTCACCACACCACTGATAATTATTCTAGAGCGCTAAAATAGTTTATTCATGGGAGTTCTTAATGCAAGATTTCAGCTAACCAGGCTATGGGTCTATAAAATTATTTTTAAGTTTAGTAAAAACAATTAAAACACCTAGGGGAATATTTAGGGGCCGATCACAGTCAGCAATTGTAGGCCATTGTTATAGAATCTTAGGAATTACAGATTAAACACTTCATAAATAAATAATTATTAATTAATATTTAATTCATGTTTTCAGTTTGATGAAGAAATGTTAAATGCTGTTTTACAAGAAGTATCTGCCATGAATGAATATTCTCGTAGAAATGATTGTTCAGAAATTAAAGGACTTGAACATAGGTTATTTAAACTTGCTCAGATGATGGACGAAAGTAAGAGATTAGCCGAAGAACAAAACCATCTTGCTGAGGTAAGTATTTTTAATTCTTAACATTTTATCAAAGAAATTTAACTATGAAATTGTTATTAGGCTATTAAAATGAACCATGCAAAAGCTGCTAATGAAGGTGATGTGTCAGTGATTAGTGTGCTATTAGCATCACATGATAAACAATTAGAAATGATGTTCAAAAACAATTCACGATTATGTGATATTCGAAAACGAAGTATTTTAGCTAAACAAGAGCTATGCAATAATTTACACCCACGGTTCAAGTAAATTATTTTATTAATTATAAAACCTTTAGGTTTGTTCCAACACGGAAATTCTAGACTGGTTGTGAGCTGATCTGTAATTGATTTACTGCACGTGTAGACTGATCATCGTAGATTCGGAATTTTGTTTGAACGTGTTTCTGACCAACTTTGATTGTCTATGATTGTAGATTATAGATAGATAAAAAAACCTGATAATTTAATACCATTTAATATTAGATGGACTGCACGTATTTATTATTAATACTATCTATTGCGGCACATAATAATATCAAATAGTGTTATTATCAATATATGTGGGACTGTTATCATATTTTTTTTATCACTAACTAATTAAAATAAGACATTTTCACAGAGTAATAATAATACATTTTAAACTTTAAACATTCATAGGTACATTTATGTAGATTTAACATGAGGTGTAATACAATTCTACAAATATCACAATGCATAGTATGTTTGTGTATTAATTTATTTTGTTATTTGGTTCTTTTTTTTTGGTTAAATAGGCAATGTAATTTATGAATATAAAGTTAAATGAGTACAAGTATACATGTATATAAAAAATCAAACTATTATTGTAAAAGCATTTTGTATTACTATTAAATAAATATTTAATACAATAATGTGTACCGCAAGATGGTGTCCTTTCCCCTATCTTCTACAATATTTTTGCTAGACCAATCAACTATACCTAATGCACTAGTTGCTGACTATGCAGATGATAAGACAATTTTATCTATATACTCTGATCCCTTTGTTGCTACTCAAATCTCACCTCATTCTTACGGAAAAATGTAAAGTTTTGACTGGAGGAGTAAGGAATTGTAATATCTATAATAAATATTGACATAGTTTGTAAATAATACACTAGATGGTGTTAGTGGCCTTATCAGAACCCAAAAGTGAGAAGGTTCGAGCTTAATTTATCACACATTCGATTTCTTGTATATCTTAATCCGTGGTTGGAACCAATCTTATAAATATATACATGTATAATAGTGTCTTTTTTCCTAACTAAGTCCTAACTAAATTTAAACATAAAATACGAAAATAAGAGTTGATACTGGAGACGGGGTGCAGCCACTGCTGTAGATAAGATGCATAGTTTTTTTATTTATACTTGTAACCAACAATAAACTATTTATAACGGAAAACTATTCAAATCGAAATTTAGTTATACATGTTTTGAAAGGCCATAATATTTACGTTTTTCAATAAAATTTGATTTTAACTCTTATAAAAAAAAAACAAATACTACATTAAACTAAATTTTTTTTCACCACCAAGTACAACTTAAAACTTGTAACTTACCATTCCTATCAAATTTTCAAACATTTCTGTTAAGTTTAACAATTTATCTATAAATAGCTCAAAAATTACTCAAAATTTTCATTGATTTTATTATTTTAAATTTTGTTTTTCTAATGTAATTCAGTTAACAATATTCGTAGCCTTAAAATCTTGACAGAAAACTTATATTTACTTTTTCTAGACGTTTTAATATTTTCAGAATATTTAAGCAATTTTTTATCTATTTATAGACATTTTAATTTAGAGAGTTTTGATGGAACTTTTGGTAGGTATTCTGTAAATAAATTGTTAGAACAGAAATGCTTGAAAATTGAATAGGAATTTCATTATACCTTCCTTATAGTAAAAAAAAAATAATTTATTTTAATGAAGTATTATTTATTTTTTTTAATGAGAGTTTTAAAATCAAATTTTTCACAACAATAGTAAATATTACAACATTTCAAAATATGTATAATGGAACTCTCCTCAGTTGTTTTCATTTGCTATAGATTGTTGTTTCTTACAGGTGTAAATTAGATAACTTTATGTATCTTACCTTCCCAACTTTCCACTTACAAAAGTGGCAGTACCTATCTCCAGATAAACTTTTTTGCACTTTTTTTTAATATTTTAATTTTGAGATTTATGAATTAATAACTATAATATTGATTACTATACTGGAGAAATACTGACCCCCCAACAATTTATCCTATTTATGCCTATGTATATATATATATATTGTAATTCTAAGAATATTCAAAATATATATATTTTTTTTTTTTTTTAACTATGAACCATTAATAAAAACTATTTATTGACATATATGTATATATTATTTTATTTTTTAAAGGTGGTTAATTCTTATAGAAAATAAAGTAAGTGATGTCGAAGCTATTATGCTATTATACAATGATAGTATAAAGTTAACTCGTGAATATTTGGATGTTGTTGAACAATTACAAAACACTCCGAAACTTTATTTTAATGCAGTAGCTGAAGTAGTCAGAAGAAGAATATTTTCTCAAGCTTTACTTATTGTAAGTCATATTTTCATTTTTGTATACAAGGTATTCTACTAAGAATGCTCATCCCATTTTTTTGGTTATATTTTGCATATATTCAAATTATGATTTTTGAAATTTTTAAATTCAGTTAAAGCCAATATTTTCCAATACTTAGATTTTTCACAATATTTAAGAAGTATCCTGTGGTGTTACTAACTTTGGTTTTTTAAAAGATAACCTATATTAAAAAATGCATAAATTGATGGAGTATTACTATTACTGTGTACCATACACAATGATATTCTACTACTCTCCCCCTACCTTTACATAAAAGTAGAATATCTCTAACAGGTTAATGGAAATCAGACATTTAACATTAATTTATTTACATTGACTCCATTTATTTATAGCATTCTTAATACATGTTATTTTAAAAACCAAAATTGGACACTCCTTAAATGTTGTGAAAATTCTATTCAAAAATACCAGCTTTAACTACACTTAAAAATTACAAAAATCAAAATTTAACAGAAAAAATTGGGTAAATGTGCCTGTGAATCACCCTGTATATTGAGTAAAGATACATTTTTAATTATTTCAAAAATAAATGTGCTATAGTTATTTAAACAACTATTACACATTTTAGTGGTCTAGTGATCTTGCCTGTCATATGATATCCCGTCATTCAGATGAAATAGCTAAACGCAAAAATTTTCAATCTCTGTTTGATGGTCATTTTTTAAATCCATTATTTCCTGGATTAGAGGATATGCCACCACCATTTGCTACACAAGCCCCACAGTTATTTGATTATAACTTACCTAAAGTAATATCAAGTAGTATATACTAAACTATAGTATTTAAGTAAATGTTTATTTATTATATTATTTTTTAAATTTTCAGCTTTGTTTAGAAGATTTGGATACATTAATAAAGCAATTGCCTCAAATAGCTCGGTTAACATCAGTACCTAATTTCAATGCAATTACACGGTTCTTTTTATCAAAATCTATACAAGAAGATGGTACATTAGCTATTGAATTTGATAATGATCATAAATCTGTTGCTTTTGAAACTAATAATAGAATGCTAGTTAATATGGAAACTGTAGAAGAAAAATTGAATGAAGTAATGACAGCTGTAGGCCTTGGATCTTGTAAAAATGATTTATTTCAAGAATCAGATGTTACTAAAAGAACACATGCAGAAATGTATGTAAAATAAATAATTTTATAATTGTTTATCTATGGTTTTGTATTATGTTTTGCCTAATATTATTTTTTCAAAACAATTTATTGTTGAAAAATATATAATAAATAGGTAAACTAATATCCCTTATTTCTCTAATAAAAACTGTAAAAATCAAAATAGAATCTTGTTACGAAGACTTGTTTATAATTGATTTTTCTTTTTTAATCCATGTAAATATTTCAATTATTACAGTTTTAAGAAAATTATGTTCCAATACAAATGAGTAAAGATTTTGTTTACCTATTTGTTTCATTAATATTAGGGATAATTTTATCTTCATGGCTGTACTCAATTTAAATAAACATCTAATGGAGGTGAACTGGAATTGGAATGATTATTTGATTGATTAGGTACATGTAAAATTAAATAAAAGAATAATGGTGTAAACTGGTTTTAAAAGTAAAACATGTCTCATAAGCTCCTAAAGTTTAAAGTTGTTTTCTAACAGTTAGTTTACACTGAAACCAATTATATTGTAAAATTTAAATATAATAGTTTTAATATCAATAATACTTGCAGCTCTGCATTATTATTTTAAGTATATCTTTCTTTTCTTCTTCTTCTTAGGTGATCTGTTCACTCAAATTTATAAAATCCACTATTCAATTGTATGTTATTATAAAATGTTTGAATAATTAATTTCATGTTTAATTTTTCCTGTACTAAGTGCAATTAGCTAGATATTTAAATACAATGTTCTAGTCAGTATGTAACATCTTAAAATATAATATAAAACTCATAACATATTCAATTTAACTACATACATTAATTGTCCACTATTTAGATTTTATTCTTTTTAATACTAGAATGGAAATTAATTACAACCTATGAAAAAAATATAATTTAGCAAATAAAAAAAATAGATGTGTGCCTTTCCCAAGTTGAAAGATCAATTTTAGATGGGCTACAGTGTGTTTATGTTATCTTAATATTAATTGTGTAAATCTAATTTAAGCGATAAGGAAAGTAAAATTTTATATTCTTTTGTCATGATTGTTTGGAAGTTTTTATATGTAAAACATTCATACAAATTTTGATTGGTACCTATTTTCAAAATTTTTTAAATACAATTTAAAATAATAATTTATTGTAGTTGTATTTCATTATAATTTTAAACAGAAATAAGTAGGTACTAGAAATTACAAATTTTATCAAAACTATAGAAGTACTATTAACAAAATATGAAAATCATAGCACCATTTTATAAAAAATAGGTACCCTAGATAAATATACATTTATTTTTTTTAATTGTCGTTTTCTATTGTGATAAAGAAAGTTTGTATTCTTTTTGACAGTGTTGAAACAAAGAATAATATATTTCATATATATAAATAATAATAGGTTCTAACACTTATAATAGGTATAGGTAAGAGAGTATATTTTTTTTTTGTTTATACAACATAAATATTGTATCTATAATAATTTATCTTCTATACAAATATGGCAGGTATATCAACCTTAAAATAAAATATTCAAATACATTTACAAGTATCCTAATCCTATGTCCTAGTATTATTGCATAGTCATGAAATAAACTAAAATGTTTATGAGCAAAGTCGACCTGTCAATTGTTTAACTCCAGAATTTTTTTTATGTTAAAAATTTGGGTTTTTATTAAAGTCTTATAGCCTGAGTAATTTTTATTTATGCCAAACAGTTTTTACAATTTAACTGTTGTTTATAGGTATATTTAATGTATAACATTAATACTAATAAATATATACTTTTAACTAATTTATTGTATTTAAGTAATTATGTATTACATTTTGATTTCAGGGAAAATGACAGTTATAATTCAGTTAACTTTATGTTACCACACAAATATATTGGAAGCCATCAAGAAGTACTGATTTTACACATATTATAAATTATAACCAAATATAATATATTTGGTGTATCTGCAGGATTCAACAATTTTCTATACAATTGCATAGTTCATTGTCAAATCTTCCAGATATGATCTGTATAAATTTAAGTAGTTTAAAAAAAAAAACTTAAATATGTAGGGAAAATCTTACTTCATATATTTTTATCTTGGGTTAAATTACAGTAAAACTACACAGAATAAACAAAGCTAAATATTAGGTTTTCTCTTTTCAATAGTTTAATTTTAAACTAAAATAAAAAACTTTAAAAATAATTAATAAAAAACATGAAATATGAATTTCTATATTTGTTTTAAAATTAAAATATTGAAAAAAAACTCTGTCATTTTGTAAATTGTTGAGTTTGCTTCAGTTGTAATTTTGTAACTTAAAAATAAATCTTTTTGATGAAAATCTGGAGTAAGATTTATTTTATATTTAGTATTGGTCAAATGATAAAGTAAATTCCAGTCTTGCACAATACACATTCTAAATATATATTTTCGTATTGTTTTTTCTTTTCAGAATACTATTCAGTTATTGAAAAATAGTATCTACAGTTTGGAAAAATTAGCAAATATCTCAATTAAAACATTACGGTCAGATTTAAATATATTTAAAAAATGTGTGGTTGAACAAAATTTAGATATGGATACCTTTACTAATGATTTACAAACAAAATATGAGATTCAAACTTCACATATACATAAACTGGTTCAAGTAAATTTATTTTATAAATACATTTATACCTAATAACATTGATTATATACATATAATTGGAGATGTTACAAACTGTCAATACAATGTTCTGTGGTGGTATAGGACAGTCTTGTAATGAAAAAGAAAAATATTACTTTTTTTCCCATTAGTGGGTTTCATAATATTTTATTATACTTTATTTTTTAACTATCATACAAATATACAACTTCTATCATCACACCACAGAATAACCTTTATTTATTAACCTATAGCATTTAAGAGAAAAATGATTTGTAACCCCGGCTTCTATGACTTCTACTGAACACATCTATTCTTGTAGAATCTGTATACAATTCTTCATTTTGATTTGATATTTTTCTAAAATGTATTTTTTACATTTGACAACTTCGTAATGAATCCAAAAGAAGCAAAACTTGCTACCACTTGCATCTGCAGTTTTTTTCAATTGAAATTTATCAGCATAAACCATAAAATGTTGCATCTCTCTGAATCTGAAAAAATATTCGGACAAATTTTCTGAAATCTCCAAAATTGTCAATTCCCTCTCTTCTTTTGGATTCATTACAAAAATCACCAAACTTGAAAAATATCAGTGAAATCAAATCGAAGAAGTTTTTAGAGAATCAATAAAAACAAATGTACTCAGAAAAAGTAATAGAAGCAAGTGATACCAATCCTACTGCTCTTCAATGACCAGTTTCTGAGTGATACTACTAGTCTGGATACTTTTTTATTAGGCCTCGTATAATATATGTATTATTATTGTATATATAATCAATGCTAATAGGTGTGTGTAAAAACTAAAAAGTTCGAAAATGTTTCACTAAAAATATTTTGCCTCAACATAATTTTATGAATCTATTTTGCTTGAAAAAAAAAACAGATTATTTTGTCACAATATTTTAAAAAATATGATTATAACAATGAACCTAATATTTGTGTAAATAATTATTAAATTAAATTTATTTTAGTGTGCCGAAGAAAGCAATCGTGAATTGGATCGTATGAGAATGAGAATAAATGAATTAGAATCTCTTGTGAAAATTCACTTAGAAAATGAAGAACATGAACGACAATTACGTTTAGGGCTTGAAAATGAAAAGGACGAGTGGATGGAACACACACGAAATGAAATTAGGAATCAATTAATAAATGATCATAAAAAAGAACTTGAAATGGTAAAAGCAAGGTTTAAAATATTTACCCAAACAGCTAATATGGAACGTAGTACGAGTGAGCAAAGCTTAGAAAAAATCAAGGTTAATATTCATAATAAACTTGTTATATATTAACCTACCTATTATTAATTAATTTAAAATCTTTACTAATTTTTTTTATGTAATTATACATTTTTTCATAATAAATAATAATTAAAATTAACATCTCATTTTAATACTGATAACTACATTGATGTTCTATTAAAAGCTTTATTTTTTTAAAAAAAATGTAAAAATCCATTAAAGAACTATACTTTAAAAATAAATAAAAGTAATATGTATGTTTTTACATAACTTTAAATTACATTGAATGGTAATACTAGAACAAATGAGCATAATATATTTAGATATAATTGTTGAATAATTTAAAATTAAAGTAATCCTTTGTCCACATTATATTGACATAATATCATATGATTAGGTCTTTCATTTAAATATGTTTGTTATTTTTGAAAAAACCAAAATTACCTGTAACCTTATATTGAAATTGTATGCATTTTGAACAGAGGTTTGATGTAATTGAACTAGTCAATCATGAAGCGATGATGTCTCAACTTAAAGAAGATTTACTACTAGAAAAAGAACAGTCAATTCAAGAAATACTAAAAAAATGTGAACAACAAATAACTCGTGAACGACAAATGAAATTTGATGGTGGATTAAAGGATGAACAAGTAATTGTCAGTAGTTTTAAAATTTAATTACTAATATTTTTATTTAATATATTATATTATATTTTTTTGAGTGTTATTAAAAGGTTATATCTTTTAAAAATATGTAATGTGTGTATGTGAATTGTGCATTTTAAATAACAATGTTTGTTCTAGTGTCTTTGGGATGAGAGCAAGAAAGAAAATACAGATGATAAAAATAAGTCTTTAAAATGTCCAAAAGACAAAAATACTAATGAACTTAAATCAAGTTTATACAATCAAAAATCTAGGTCAAATAGTATTGCTGTGCCAGAGTGGTAAGCATATAAGAAATACCATAATATAATATTTTAATCTGTGCATCCAATATATGTGTAACAATTTTATTTTATCAGAGTTCATTGATTTCTCAATAATATAAAACATTTAATATATAACTGCATAGTTAAAAATATATTATAGATATGTATTTTCAATTATTATATATATATATGTAATATTTCTGAATATTATTTCAATGGACATTGGTGAATGATTATAAATCAATTTCTGAATAAACTTAAGGTAGTGTTAATTTTAATTTCAAATTGAGTCATTATATTCCAGATATAAAGCTTAAATGATTTAGAGTAACCAATTATTTAGGATTATATCAGTTAATAAGTATAAATATAACACAAAATGTAATAATACATATTATTGCTAGCATAACTCAGATCTATCACTGACAAAGGTTTGTTGGAAGAAAACCATGCATCAAGTAATTCTTAACCATATAATGTATCATGTGTTTTTTATAATGAACTCAATTCAGATGCAGCTGTTTTTATATTACAATAAAAATAAAAGGGAGGCACTTTTAAGATACATTCTTCCAGGAATGTAGGACAGTAGTCAGGGACCCTTATAAAGTTATAAATAAAACATTAGTTTTGTTTATTAAATATAATATAATGCTAGTAACACACTTTGTACAATTTTTTTTTTATTACAATTAGGGATCTAAGCACAAGCTCCTCATCAAGCAGTGTATTTGTGGATGTGGTATGTATAATGATAAATAATTATAAACTTATTGTTAATTTATAAAAGTATTATATTACATGGTAAAATTATTTATGCAGAGTAAAAGTTCAAGTTCTGAGTCTGATGAAGGAAAACTGTGTATCAGCTCGTAAGTATTTCTTGAATGATAATAAAATTAGCATTATTTATAATCCATTTACATGTATATATATATATAATCTATAAATAATATATATTAATTATTTATCTATTTCAGTTTCAATGTTGGAAATGTTGTTTTGGTTATATGGGATTCCATTTATAGAAATTATGTTATATATCAAGAAAATAACAGAAACCTTATTTTTTTACATCCAGATAGCATAGACAACTTGTCTTTAAAAGTTAGCTTAGGTGAGTAGTCTGTTGTTTTATTTATTAAATGTATTTATTAATCTAATAAATAACATTTTATTTTATTCTTAGATGAGACACCAAAATTACAGCATTTTTCTGCTGAAGTATTACAAAAAGAATATTGTCAAGCAGTCAAGGTTATTTAATGTTTTTATTATATTAGACAACTTTTGTTTAACTACTTATTATAAATACTATTTTTTCACAGGAGGATAACAGATACAGAGTTAAAAAGGGAATGAAATTCTACAGAGTTAAAGTACAATTGCTCAAGGCACCAGGTCATAAAAGAGAAGTATCAGAATCGGATAGTACTATTTCTGTAACATTAGTTCAATAGGAATAAATGTGATATATTTGAGTAGTATTGATATAATAATTTAAATGCTTTCAAAAAACTAAATTTGTGAAGATATAAGCTATGTTGCTTTAAGCTAATAATGTCACAAACATATAAATTTAAATGTTAAATTTCCTTTATATATCAAACTATTGTAACACGTATTTATCTCATTTTAAAAATTATTCTTTAGGTAGATTTAATGTGTTAACTTATATAACTATTTAATTTATATATATATATATATGTAATAGAATTCAATATTCATATATTTTTTTTGTTTGTTAATGTTATTTTTGGACAATTTAATTTTAATGATAACTTTTGATGCTTACATTTTATTTACCCAATGATTCTCACATATTGTAATTAAATAATGAAATTATTAGATACCTACTATTAGCATTCTACCAATTTTTAATATAGATGTATTATTAAATTATGTTAATTAAGAATAATTATTTAAACTTAAAATATTATGCTAATATATTTTTAAGTACGTATTATTAATTTTTTTGTAGTTTCCATATTCTTTAATATATATGAATTTATTATATTCTAGGTTAGTAATAGAATTTTAAACCTTAACACTAAATAATTTTTGTGCAATTAATTTTTTTTTTTTACAAATTTAAAATGTTTCTCATAATATGTTAACTTAGTTCTTCCCAATTCCAGAAGGAATATATTAGTCATTTGTAATTAGATGTATTAATACACAAATCTATTTAAACTACTTACATATTTCAAAATATCATGCTTTATTGTGGCATGGATATAAGAATTTATAAATATGAAATTAGGAATTCTTAATATTAAATTATTAATTATTTTAACTAGTAAATAATCTTGAGCTCTGTTTATTTTGGTAGATATTTAGATAAGTACCACTTTTTAAATTGTACTTAATGTCTTTATGAATCTATTTAAGTTTTTTGAATTGAATATTTTATTGTTAGTATATACTTCCCAAAAAGTACTTTATTAATACTATTTCCTTTATTATATTTTATACAAATGTTATCTCTTAGTTAGAATGAATATGTTTTATAATTTTAATACAATTGGTTATTTTATTTTTATTTTTTAAATCTCAGTAGAAAATTAATTTTGACTCTCAGAGTTTGATTGAAAATATTATTAGTATTATATTTACAAATTTATTTTGATACTTCTGTGGTATATAAATTTTAAAATTCTTAATTGTTCATCATATTCACCAAAGATAGTAAACAATGTCCTCAATTTAATTTCAATGTTTTTATTGTCTTTTAGTTGTTTTGTAAATATAGCCTATGTACATAACAAATTATATATATATATATTATGTTCTTATTATATATTGTTAACTGTTAATTGTTAAGGAACTCAAAAAAAGTGATTGTTTATTGTCTATTGTATATCTGTATGTCAAATTAATTTTTAATAAAGTTGGCTGTGTGTATTTTTTTTAAAAAATTTGTTGAATTTTACTAATAAATCATTTGATGATATGGTTATATACTCTACACCACGAGAGAAGTAAACCTTTGCCTCAACCGAAATGCATTCAATTCTGCGCATCCCCATGTACTTGCTGGGGTCTAAATGGGGCCTCATGTCCTTGGTTGGCATGCGCGAAACGGTTTACTTCTCTCGTGGCGCGGAATATAGTAACATATAATAATTCTAAAATAAAATAATTCATAAATATTTTTTTTAATAATGCAATTACACTGCATCTTCTCATTACTAAATTTAGATTTGAATATCTTTACTATTATGATTTGTGTATTGTATTTTTTTTATTTTTTTGCTATTTTAATTAAATGTTGAAATTACAAACATTTACTGCAAGTATAATGCAATATAACTAGATTTTGGTTACATACAAAACAGATTGTTTTTCACTTATCAAACAATATTTAACTACCTCCTAAGAGTTTTCTGCACACCACAGGTTAGAACTCGTTGTTCTAAATCACCTTCCTATTACAATAACATAGTGAAGTTCATATTAAAATTTTAAAAATTGTACCACTTCAATCTGCTTATAAAAAACTTTAATTGCCATCTTGAGCTTTTTTGGGCCAGAAGAAGCTGCTTAGTACAAATATATTGAGAAAAATATAAAAAGTAACAGAAACAAGTAGACAATACAGTGCAATATTTTTTATTTAAATGGACAATTTAACAAGAATAAAAACTAATACCTTTTGGTGATATTTATTCTTTTTTCTATAATTTCTACATCTTATTATGTTTACAGGGAATTGAGCTTTCAAAAATGTCAAATTTGAATATATTTTTTAAGTTTATAAATTTTAATTTTAAAATATTTATTGAAATTGTTTATACAGGGACCCCTTTAATATTGGGAGTATGTAAACACAACAAATAGGAACCTACCTATCTCTAATCAATTCTAAACAATTCGGTGATGGTAAAATAATTTTGTCATGGGATTTATTGTCATTCTGATTTTTGGAATTTTTAGGTGCATAATTGAATGAGACAAATTTTGCATATCTACCTACTTAGATAATTCACAACTTTGAAAGAGTATCAATGTGGCGATAATAGCTTTGGTTTTTTAAATAAGAACCTACTTGATTTAATACAAATAATCAATCTGATGATTTTTTTTGAAAATTTAGACACATTGTAGACGAAATTTGAAAGAAAAGTTTCTGAAGTAGAATTACTCAGAAACTTTTCGTTTTAATTTTGGATAAAATAATGTTAATGTTAACATTTTCAGAAAGATCATCAAATTAACTATTTGCATAAAAATAAGTAGGTTCTTATTTTAAAAATAGATAATCAAAAAACCACTCTGCTTTAACTCTAAACCAGTTGTTGGCGACCTTTTTGGACTTTTGGCCGGTATTAGTAGGTATTCAAAAGATTTAAATAATTTCATGGGCCGTGTCTGACTATAAGTATCTACTTAATTAAGATTTTAGTTTATGAAAAAACCGAAAAATCGGGGAAATTTACAAAAATAATTAATTTATTACTTTAATATAAATAATTCAGTTAAAAATATTTGTATAGACTTGAAATTCGGACAGAAAACTTATATTTGCCTCTTCTAGACATAATAAAACATTCAAAACCATTTAAATTTTGCTAGTTTTTACATAATATTAATTTGGTAGGTACTTTGTGAGTAATATAGTTTGATCAAAAAGAAATACTTAAAGATTGAATATTTTTATGTAATGCAGAATTTTTTTAATATCTAATTTTGATGAAAATCGTAAATATTACAGCCTTGCAAAACATGTACCTAGATATAACCGAACTCTGCTCAGAATAGTTTCAGCTATCAATGATGAACTTAATCGCATTAAATTCCCCTCTATAGATATCCTACCTTACCGACTTCTCACCAACAAGTAACAAAAGTAGCTCATCAATCGTGCAAAGTAAGTAACTATGTAGGTCTTTTTAGGAACAATAATACTTATTATACATATAATTCAATTTTTATTGACATAATGTGTCAATATATATATATATTATATGAATTGAACACTCTTTAATACTGAACAAATTGCCACCCCCCCCCCCCCCTCGGCATTAAGGTTATTTTTTCCCCTCTCAAAGAAAGACCCGTTAGTGGGTCAGGGTCACTACATATTATACATTTTCTTGGGTTGGTCTCTTGTCCCAATCCGTCTCTGATTATAGGCATAATACCTACCGTATTGTTTAGAATTTGTAATTATAAATGTAATCAAAGATTTGAAATTTGTAAGTTCACTTGTTTTTACTATTATGATTCCATTAAAAATTTTTTGCAGCAAACTTCTGTAAAACTCGATACTTTTGTCGTTTCTACATTTTTCGCCGCACTAAAATGTTACGTCTTAATTATTTGTAAGTCATCCATGTAATTATTCTGAATTTATGCTTACTTATGACCACGAAGAATGTAGATCGTTATTCTTCATGCTTACAACACTTACAAATAAGATAAACATAATTTTGGCACATTCAACATTAGTAAAGCTATGTAGCGTAATTTTTTGGGCTAGGATCGTTAGGGAGCCTTTGATGTTACGATATACTTGTAAGTTGTAACAAATAAAATAATGTTTTTATTGTATACCTAATAATTAATAATTATTTAACTCTTCAATGCGCAATTTTGCTTTTTTTATGCAAAAATGATCGTACAAAATTATTTTATACCAAAATCGCATCATGTTATCAAGTTATTTACAATGATATGATTGCTTTATGGATAAAAACTGTTTATAATTTGTTCATAGAGAGCGCCACTTAAATTGATTGTTAGGTTTCTATCGTAACTGCGTATAATAAACATTTTAGTCATTGCAGATATGCTGCAATAGGCATTCAAGGGTTAAAATATGATGTACTTACACAATTTTTACAATTAATAAGAATTTTTGCGTAGAATTAAAACACGGCTTTGAACTTCTAAGCGTCTAAACAGATTTTCAAATCTTTCTGAATTAAAATATTAAAATAAATATTTCTATGAAGTGTAAGTATTTTAAACATTATTTGAAACATTTGTTAGTGTCTTTTATTTTGTTATGGGTGGACGTGTTGAGTGATCACCTCTATATCTTTTATCTAAAGAGACTTGAGTAATAATCGAGTAATGTAGGTAACTACTTATCAATAAAATAGGTATGACATAAACATCCGGCAAGATTTCAAAAAGTACGCTGAAGGGAGTTGTAAGGTGAAATGAACTACATTCAACTCCAATTTTTAGGATGTGTCAAGAAAGGATATTAAGGATACGGAAGGCTTATATTTCTAAAATAATGGCGCAATGGAACGATTCTAGTTTAACTCCCACGCGATTTTTTGGGTTTTTTTTCAAAATGTGTTTGGGTGTAGGTATATTAAGAATGTAAAAAAAACTCTGACGAACTTCGTTTGGAAGTTATTGAAGAAAACTTTATGAAGTACGTGTTTTCAGTTTCGTGTATTTCTTAGTTAGAATTTAACATTTTCAAAATTTCTTTTCCAAAATGTGTTTTTTAATGCTTATAATACATTGTTTAATGAAAATTTAATTTTAATCAAAACTTACCTATCATACTTATTTGTATAATTTTTGTACATAAACCTTGAAAAATAACATTTTCGGAATTAATCTAAAATGTGGTCAAAAATATACATTTTTATTATTTATAGAAAAATAATTTTAATAATATTTTAAATGTCCAAATCGATTTTAAAAATAATATCTCATCAATACATTTTGGATAATAAATAATAACTAAATAATTTGTATTTTTTAACATATGTATCAATGTTAAATAATAACTCATTTTAAATAGTCTCTCCTATTAAAATAAATTATTTCTATGTAAAATGATTATTTTTTATAATTTTTTCGCTATGTATTACTTCATTTATTTTTTGATATTTAGTCGCGTTTTACTTTTTGATTTTGTGATTTTACTCAACGATGGATTTTTAATTCGTATCCGGTCATACAATACACATTTCATACTACTCTAGGTGACGCATTTATTTTTATTATTATTTGTAGTTTTTGGTATTTTTATAAAAAAATTGTTTTATCAAAGTATAGTCTTAGTCTTAGAGTTACAAACGTTCAAACTGTGTTTCGTTGCGCTCAATCGGATAATTTTAATCGAAAATAACCCTCGATTTGTTGTGCAAAACCACGTCGGGTAGATAACAGGGGAAAGTGAAAATCATCATAGGTAAAATTAGAGACCTAAAGTGGTTAATCGCACGTTGCGCTCACTCGGACAATTTTAATCGAAAATAACCCTCGATATGTTGTGCAAAACCACGTCGGGTAGATAACAGGGGAAAGTGAAAATCATTATAGGTAAAATTAGAGACCCAAAGTGGTTAATCGCACGTTGCGCTCACTCGGACAATTTTAATCGAAAATAACCCTCGATTTGTTGTGCTGAACCACGTCGGGTAGGTAACGAGAAAAAGTAAAAAGCACTATAAGTGGAATTAGAGACCCAACGTGGTCACTCTCGAGGGTCATTTTCAATTAAAATTGTCCGAGTGGGCACGGCGCGTTTGAACGTTTGTAACTCTAAAAGGCTAAGTCAGCTAGACTTATTCTGACTTCAATAAAAATAACTTTGTCATCGAAATATCAATAACTACAAATAATAAAAATAATATAAATGTCTATTTTCGAACACATTTTGGATTAATTCCAAAAATGCCATTTTTCAAGGTCTATGTACAAAAACTATGAAAGTAAGTATGATAGGCGAGTTTTGATTATACCAATGTATTAATCATTAAAAACACACATTTTTTGGGGGGGGGGGGAAATATTTTAAAATGTTAAATTCTAAGAAATACGCGAAACGGAAAACCCGAACTTCATAAAGTTCGTCAGACTTCTTCTTTTTACATTCTCATGGCGTATACCCAAAAACACACATTTTGAAAAAAAAATCACGTGGGAGCTAAACCAGAATAATTATAGTCATTATGTCTACTACTTATTTATTAGTACATACCTAAAAGTAGGGTTACCGCCTTTGAAAGATGGTAGATCCGAAGACAGGATGATAAGCAAAAATAAAAAATAAAAAGATCGTCATCAAAAGATACCATGTATAAATTTAATGTATAACAATAGTCATTAAATCGTATTTTATCTCATATTTTGGCGAATAAAATATATCGTTCTCGTTGCTTATCGACTATATAACTATGTATCTAGATACAATATTATACTTCAATAGTACACAGTAATAATAATTTTACGACCCGGAGAATAATTCACAAAACCCGTAGACTTATTTATAAGTAAAACCGGAATATCCGGATGAAACCCGGAGGGGTTGCGACCCTACTACCTATAAGGTAGGTACAATTTATAAATATGACATCGATTTTATAATATACCTAATACATCAACGGATAAGATACTTACCCAATAAGTACCTATGTTATTTTTTTGATTACAGAGATAATTATTATTATTTTTGTTGTTACAATTATCTGCGATTGAAATTCTGGTATCGAGCATATTATTGTACTTACCACAAAGATATACTAACTAGAAATAGTTGAGGACTAAGAATATGTAGGTATCAAGATATATCTTAGCCCGTGATAGGTGCCTCTACTTGTATTATAACAAAGTAGGTATTGTTATTATGATATAATATGTCTAAATAATATATTCTGTAAATCACAATATATTATAATGACATTCAACGTTTAAACTATTATTTCTACAAAAATATATTTTTCGTATTAGTTATTCGATTTGAAATTAGTGAAATCCATGAAACTGTTTTATGACGAACCGCATTTATCGGTAGGTACCGTATTAAAATATTGGTAGGTACCGCGATTAAAAAAAAAAACATTATTATCACGAAGTGCTTATCACGTAGACCATCCCTTATCCCCGAGATTTTCTCGTAAATGCGGTTAAAAGTTTATAACCCTCGAAAAATCGAATTACAAAAAAAAAAAAAATTACGATCCAGGCGGAGTTTCTTTATACTTACGTACAGTGTGGAAACGAGAACGGTATAATTTTATTGTTGAACGTCGAACGTGGTTCAAAAACGTCGGTCGCTACGCACTTGACGGCGACACCGAACAGTTAGTTACGTTTACGTCACGACCAGCGGCGGACTATTCGACTACACCTAACGTTATTGTATACGTAATAATTGTACACTATTGTAAATGTGGGTACATTCGAAATAATAATATTAGGTATATACGAGTTAAGTAGGTACCTATCTCGTCCAAGTCGGGCCTTTGCGCCGAAAAAAAAACACGCGAATATCTCGTTCCGTTCTCTGGGGCTCGTCGGAAAAATCGGTGACGACGACGACGACGACGAGCGAACAATTTCGTATTCGTATCGAGTTCGCAAACAAAACGCGTAAACAAACTTGATATAAATACACACAAGTACAATATCCGGTTGAGACGTTTTTTTACTGCACGTCTGCGAATAAATATACCTACCTACCTACCTATCGGAAAATTGAGGTAAATTTTTAAAATAATTATAATAAGAACATTTACTGAATATCTATTATTTAAATTTGTAATATAATGTAAAATAAATAATGGAATGTAAAAATGATTTCGCGTAAAATAACAGTGGTCTTGGCTGGTGGAGTTTTTCATAATCGCCGCCATAAAAAATATCAACAATATTTGTTGATCATTGTGTACTCATATTTTTATTATCACTAGTCAATAGTCGTACTCATTAACATATATACGTCATTAGGTTTTCTTGTCGTATTAGACAAGAATATTGAAGATAATAATAATATTGTTATTATTTTTTATTGTCCGTCTTGGCGCACGTGCGGCCAGTTTTTTAACAATACTTTTTGTTGCACACCAAAATTCAATACATTCGCGTTTGTTTCTTTTTTCCTCATCAGTGCAAGTATCTAAGTAAATACAGCGTTCTTATCGTCTACACTATACACGTAACTAGCTACAACACTGACGACTTTGTTTTGCTGTCCAAATGAATACAATAATCTAATACGTACATACATTGATATTATGGTACCTACTCGGCCATTGTGAAGGTAAATTATTTTGACAAGATGAATTTTAATACAAAAAAAAAAAAAACTTTGAATTAGAAAAAATTATAATTAGTATAATGTATAAATAATTCAAATATTTTATTTTTCATTTGATAGAAATTTAATTGTATAATATTTAATAAGAAAAAATTAATAATAAGTACCTTGGTATCCAATACTAATTGTATAAAAAAAAAAATAATATTACCTAGGTATCAAATATAAATAAACAAAAAGAATTAGGTACCTATACAATAATAGTTTGTGATCTTGATAATGAAAATAGCATTGTTTTAAATGTATTTAATACACATTTGGCAGCAACTTCTTTGGCCATATCAATAGTTAAAGCACGTCCAACAGTAATAGTAATTGGTATAGTGTTTACTTGTAAAATCATAATGTATTCTTCATTTTGGCTGGTACAATCATAAACATCTGTTGAAACACAGTTATATAAATATTAGTTTTTAGTAACTCTTATATCTTAATTGAATATAGTTAATATAATAGGTACCTTTTTGTGGTTGAAAAACTGATTTCACGTGTACATAAATCGCTTGAAAACCTAATGCCTCACATAAAGTTTGCAATTTATAAACATCAGATCTCGAATCTGAATTATATTGTTCAACAGACTGTTCAAGTTGATGTATATTCTGTGGAATTTCTTGTTGCGTCTTATCCTTCAAATTTATAATGAACAATTAATAATAGGTAGTTATTTAAGTAGATGTACCTAAATGTTATTTCAATATTTTGATACATACATCAAAAAATGAACATAAATTTGACCATTCCATTATACTACTATTTACTATTGCGGTTTTAAAGTATAGTCCCATAATGTGTACGGCGTCCCACGATTTCTTATTTTCCTCTTGCATAATAGTATAATTACTATTTTTCAAACAGTCCTGGAAAATATTTTCGGTTTATTAGATTTAAATAAATTAATAAATAAATTGAAATCATAATACATTATCATGTGACAATATTTGGTGTTCCATATTTAATTCTTGAAATTCGGTTACGCTCATGCCATGAATCTGATTAAACATCATATGTGCAGCCATACGTTTTGCATTTTTTTGCTTATTTGCAGTTCCTAAAGAAGAAAAAGTAATGAATACTTTAATTTTCTTAAAATAATAAACTTTTTTTTTATTGCATTAAAATAATTACACTTATAATATTATATGGTATACAAAATTAAAGGAACATAATTATTTTACACATCAGAAGTGAAACTTAAATTACATAAAACATATTGATATATGTACACCAATTAGAAAACAAATTTGTTAATTAATCATAAATTAATAGTATAAACAATTTATTTATTAGCTTGATCATGAAAACAGTTTTTGGATTACTAAATTGATATTTTTAGCATGATAATCATTTATATCAAAATATTACAAACACTACACAAATCTAATATGCAATATCAACAATATTAATAGTCACCATGGTACCGTAGTAACCCATTCACTACTCGAAAACAATTATATTATTTCATTATGTGCATGAAAATGTATGAAAAAAAAAATGAAATATAAAAAAGTTTCACTTCAATAAAATATGTACAGATAAAATATTTCATAAATGACTGTTCTTATAGTAAAATTATTTTTTCATCAAATAAATAGTTTGAATTATTGAGATTTAAATTATTAAGTAGGTGTACCTGTTGTTTGTAAATGAAATAATTGACAAGTGACTATGTAAGATACAACTTTACGATTTGTATTTTTCAAAGGCTCTGATATTTTTTGAAAATTATAGATAGGAGATGCCCATTTATGCTTTATACATAACTCCTGTAAGGCCCCTACAGGATTCATTTCACAATGACTAATTTTTACATCTTCATAATTTTTCGAATATTGCCTAAAAATTGCACTTATCAAATTATACATATATTTTATTAGCTATAAGTATATAGCTTTATAAATTAAAATTACATTTCGTTATCACCCATATCTGAATCTGCTATTTGTGATCCTTCAGTGCTGGTTAAATTTTCTGTATTATTTTCATTTATTTCAAAGTTATCAATTACAGTAGTAGATGTTATATTTTTATCGCTGTTGGTTAATGAGTCTTCTTCAAAAATCATTTTCAAAATTTCAGCCGCGGCTTCTTGTTTCGCTTCCTTTTTTGAGAGTCCTTCTCCTTTGGCTATCTCAGTAATAAAAACAATTTTTATTTAATTGATTTACACCATATAAATGATTATTAAAATACTTACCTTTTTTATTAAGTACTTGACACATAAATGTAAATATTGGTTTATGTGCAAATCCACTTATAGCTAAAGGAACATAAGACACCACAATTTTTTTTTGTACACCATTAGTTCCACGCATTGCCCATTCATTTAATACAGATATAGGTGTTTTTTTTTGTTGTTTTTTAGTATTATTTGTATGTTGATTCATATGGTCACTCAAGTTATTATCTTTATTTTCAAAAAAATAATCTAAACAAAATATACTACATATAATGATTATTTAATAGAAATAATAAATCTGCATAAGTTATTCTCATTTTTAGATAGGTATATTGTATGAAAATAAATTTACTACGTTTTGCTGATATTTCCATTGATTTTGAGTGATACTTATTATTATAATAATCTTCAGTTCGGTTATTAAAATCATCTATAGTAATTTCTTTACGTTTAAAGTTCTTATATTTATATTTATTGATTGTTGATTGTTCTTTATTTTTATTATATTGCTGAGACAATTTATTAAATTCCTATACATAAATTGATAAAATTATATTAATTTAGATTCTAGCATGCAAAACTTTATTGGACTTTCTTTTTATCCAATTTAAATTTTGTATTTTGCAAATAATTTATTATACAAATTATATAAAAGCAAAACTATTAATACATTAATAGGATACAAAATAAGTTATAAACATGGTGAATTTTTATCAAACCTTCTTTTAAAAAATATTACACAATTAACTCTCCTGCAAATTGTTTAATGAATGGACTAATAAATTAGATTATGTTTAACAATCTTTATTAGATCTATGAAAAATTACATATATTTTATATATCTACTATGTCTATCTACTATTATATCTTAGTATTGTATTTTCTAATATGATTATATAGTATATCAAATAAATGTAATTTTTATTTGTTTTTATATTACTACTTTACAACACTTACCCAACTTAGTAATAGAACTTTTTGAATAGATTATTACTAACAAAATTTTAAGATTGGTATTCTACTGGAAATTATTTCATAAAATAGCCAGTGATTGGAAAATAAACTGGAAAGTTCTATATGATCACTAAATGCTTACAATAAATAAACAATGGAAAACCTTTTGTCACTTTTAAATATATAACAGATTATATTATATTAGGTATAGATTATTCTTTAAGTTTTGCAAACACGTATGTATTTTACTATACATACTTGTAATATAGTAAATATATATTTTTTTGTTTTAAAAAAAAAGTATCAATATTTATAAAGTACTTATTAGTTATTTGATAATAATGTAATGATATATACAATATGGTATATACAATAATAAAGTAGAATTTAAATTTGATTCCAGATTGATAAAAATTAATCTATCTTTAATAAATCTAATATATTATTAAACATATATATATTAGAGATGTTATGAATCCTGATTTTTAAGGTCCAACCGAACCAAACTTTCCTTAAAATTAACGAACACCAACACAACCCCTACACATTCTTATTCTAACCAAACTTTTAAAATATTTTATTGAACTTGAACATTAAAAAAGTAAAAAGTTTAGGTTAGGTTAAAAACCTAGGTTTCCAAACTTCTCGGCTCTGTAATTTATGTTTATGAAACCAGCTAATGCGAACAAAATTTTACTTTTTCAAACAAGGCCACTCTGTCCCACCACAGTACATCGTATTGGTGACTGTAGAATCAGAATGAATGGAATGATTTTCAAACCAAACTATTTAGTATTTCTTTTGGTTCGAAAATCGAATAGTTCGTCACATCTCTAATATATACAGAGTGTCCCATGATGATCTGCCACTTGAAATAACTTTTGCTCTATTCAATATTTTTGATAATTTTTTTTTCTAAATAATTAGTATGCCTTCACACTACAGTTAATATATATATATATATATTTTTTTTGGGGGGGGGGGGGTAGGGAGCTCAAAATAAAAAATTAAAATTTTACTATAATTTTTTTAAAAAAATTCAAAATAGCCATTTTATAAAATACATTTTTAAAAAAATGCTCTGTGTACATATATCAAAGAACAAAAAACCAGAATGAAATATAGATATATTTAAAGTAATAATTTTTTGTTTTCCTATTTTATCAAAATAATATTTGCTTATATTAATGAATGGTTGAACAAACTACCAAATTCTGTATGAAAATAATAGAAACTAAAGTATATTATAATTTACTTCATCTGTCATTTCTTCTTTTTCATAGACGTATAGATTTGTTGAGATTTGTCTCCATCTATCACGTTCTATTTCTTGCTCATTATTATTATTGTACCTCTTATTTTCAACATACATTGTCTTTTGAGAACATGTAGTCATATCTGTAAGATAAACAAAAATCATAGATAATTACACATTTCCTAATTGATTTTGGGGAATAAATATCATTTTTAAAAGCACATATACATGATACATTGAAAATTTCAAAAATTATTTAAATTAAAAATCATAGAAAGAATTGGAAGGATTTCAAAATGTTTATGAATGGGGTGTCTGAGAAACATAAAGATACTTGACAGTAGGTGCCCACCAAAAGCACCATAGACATTTATACCCTTGTCACTCTTGTTTGTTAAAAACATAAATAAGAACCAGTTTAATAATTTATAAATTCAAATACAGATAATTGTAATATTTTGGAACCAACTTAATAAATTATAATATTATAATTTAATTAATAACATTTTAATTTTAATAACTCAATGTGGATATTAATTGATTAATGGGAACATTTATTTTTTACAATTTTGTTGCATCTAACCTTTAAAAATAGGCAGGTACATCATTATAATAGCTATAACATAATGTAAATATTATTTATTTATAATATACTGTTAATCATGGAAAAGCAAAATTTTAAATTGATTATTAGCAAGTTTATTGAAGGAAAACATTTTGTTTGACAAAATAAATTTGTAAATTTTTCTAATTCCTTCGTGCTCATGAGCACGCCAATACACACTTAAAATTTTAAAATTAACTAACAAAGATGTTTAAAAAGAGACAAACATACTTTGCATTATGGGTGGACCATTTTTGTAGATGAGAAGTCAGGGATGTATAGGGGAATTTAATGTAAGTAAAGATTAATCATTGTCAACATAAAACGATTCTGACTTCACCATTGGCAATATACATATGAAGGGCTACAAGGAAAAACAATATTAGTGAAAAAAAATAATAAATAGGATATTATATTATTATTTTGTCATTTGCTTCTGGCCGAATTGAAATGCGAATCAAGGTGAGGGATAAAGATCATAGTCAGTGATATAATAAAGGTTTAAATATACGGTTTAATAAGGTTTTAATATAGTTCTGAAACTTTAACATTTGCATGAATCAGTAACTAGATTTGTTAAAAAAAATGTTTTATTCTAACAATTTTTGACATAATTTGACAATAAAATTCCTTTATGAAAAAAAATACTATGTTTAGCTCAAATATTTTTTAACCACGAAATACAACTTTTAATGAACTTCCTGTTAAATTTTCAAGAATTTTTGTTCAGTCCAACAATTTTACCACAGAGTACCTACAAACTGAATACAAATTATGTAAAATACTCTCATAAGTAAAATGTCTATAAATACTTGACAAATTGCTAAAATGTTTTGAAAATTGTATTACTTCTAGAAAGGCAGATAGAAGTTTTGTGTCTAAATTTCAAGTCCATAAAGTCAATAAGAATATTTTTAACTAAATTTCAACAAAAAGGAAAATTGAAAATAATAAAATCATTATTTTCGTAAATTTTACAGTTTTTCTTAAGTTTTATCCTGGATTTTCCTATATATTAAGAAAACCGCTTGAAAAATCAAAAAATGACCTGCACAAAGTAACATCCATACATAATTTCCTTTCAGGGAAAGTGCCACACATACATATCGAAGCAAGATTTCTGATAGAAATTTTTGTCATGGTATAAAAAAAAAATAAACATCATTGTAAAACCAATACATTCTTCGTTACACTCCAAATCTAAAACGTTTTAGGATAAAAATATTAAAAATTGGTATCTACCTATTTACAGCAAAAGTAAAAAAAAAAAAAGTATAAAGTTAATTTGTACATTAGTTTTAAATTTAAAATTAAAGACAATTATAATATAATTATTATTAAATTACCAAGGTGCTTCTTCTGTTAGTGTATAAACGCGATAAATGTTTTTTTGATCTTCAAAATGTTTGCTGGGTTATTTATATAACAATTTCACTAAACAAATTTTTATTATAATGGCGTATATGAATCAATTTCAAACTCGGCAAACTTGGATAGAAAACCGTGAAGTACTCGTGTGTCTGGCTTTTTGAAATTCGTTTTGAGGTTATTAAAGATAACTGATAAATCGTTAGGTATTATTTAACTTGGTTGTAATATGAGAAAAACCAAAAATAAAAATAAGTATTGATAATTATGAGTTCCTTTTGCGATTGGAAGGTCCGTTGTTTACATAACTTTTACGTGGATGGATCAAGGCTGTATAAATTCGTTGTCTCGAATTCAATTTCCCATTGTATTAATTTATTATTAGGTGCAACAATTATTTTCTCGAAAAGTTCAATTTAATGTATTCTAAACGTAATATATAACGTCATATAGGTTAGTGAATAAACGTTTTGATACCGTACCTGATAAATTTAATAATTGCAGTGTCCTGTCAACGTAATGAAAAACAAATATTAATTATATTGTCAAATTAAAACTACTATTTGCCATGGATCTATTAAGTTAATAGGTCTATGGTATTTTCTGTATTTGTATAGGTACCTACAGTGTGGCCCTAGTAAAAATTGTACTCGAGAAACTTTTTATATTTTTTTTAAAAAAACAAGAACTGTTTTAAAAAAAAAATGTTCAAACAACAAAAATGCACAGTATAATATCATAGTAGTGGTTTTCACTTGATAAAAAAATTGAGTACTTACTATATTATGATCAATTTTTTTTCAGGACTACTAGATATGTACAACATGATGAATCTCTTATTAAATTTTCGAGCATTTTTACTTAGCCAAAACAATCGTATTCATATAAAACCAAATTAAAGCAAGATAATTTCAAATAGCTATAAATAGCTCGAAATTCCCAGAATATTTTTAATATTATTGTACGACGTATAGATAGTGCTTACTTTAGTATTCGTTTTAAATTGCAGGCCTTTAAGAATTTACGATTATTTTTATCTAATTTAAAACAAGAAACAAAATCGAAAAAAACAGATGGGTAAATCTGATAAAATAAGGGTAGATAACCTACTGTTATTTTGTAAATTTTCTCGTTTTTTCGACATTTTCCTCCAATTAAAAATGAGTTTCCCTATTCATAAACTAGATATTTGCTATTTACCGGAAACCACTGAAGTTGATGATCTTAGTAAGATTTCTGGTGGTTAAGTTGTTAATAGACAGAAAAAAGCACATACCGTGGTAAAATCAATACATTTCTTGCAAGTTGCAACGCTAAAAAAGTTAGAATGTAAAAAAAAAAAATTATAACCCGAGTTATTATTTTCGTTACTAATTTTTAATTTCCTTAGGTATCTACCCAAATTATAAATTATAAAAACCAACTTTAAATCCATTGCAGATATTGGTTTTTTTACAGGAACTAATTCTACTGTAAATAAATTAGAAATTACGAGTAACTTGCCAATCGCCCAATTTTAAACTTTTTGCCCTATTAAAAAATTAGTTTTGTATTTAAAATATAAATTTTACACAAATTTTAGGCAAATTTGTTATTCATTAGTATTATGCAACTACTTACTTACCCGTTTTACAACCGTATTAATTTGATGTAAATATATTATCATAATGATATGCTCGTACCTACTTCAATATATTTTCATTACAAATTACAATGATAACTTGTTAAAATATTTTTGAAGTGAACATTATCCATAATAATAATTTACTCGTATGTTATACGAGTAAATATATAGGAAGGATTTTTAAAAATGTTTTTATTTTAAAGCAGTTCGTTATCTACATATAACTTATATAGGTAAAGATTAAAAACCGATAGTTGATCAAAATTAAATAAAATAATTTTTATTCTTTTGGCACTCTCGAATATTTAAAACATTTTACTTTTGCGTACAGCAATTTCGTACAGACCAAATTATTTTACGTATATAATATGTGACATATCTATGTATAATTATAATACCGCCCATATGTTGAAGACATTAGCATTTAATTATGGAATATTTTATTTATAGTACGATGATTTCCAAGCCAACCATTTTCTATTTAATATTATATGGATTTATTGTATGTTAGGTTTTATTTTATACAATTTATTTTGTACAGTTAACGCTATGCGGTTTTTTGTTTATATTATTATTATTTTTAATTCCGATGTTTTTGATACATCTTTTTTAATCGTCTTTAAATAAAATGTTATTCTCTTGTATCTTAAGAGAGAATAAGTAAAAATATTATTTTTTTTTAATTGCATAAGTATTTAATTGATTTTATGATTTTAAGACACAAAATAACATAATAATATTACAATGTATGTATTATAAGTTTTTAAAATAACTCAACAGGTTTTACATAATACCTAAGTATTATAATGTTCAATAATAAATAATACGTAGCTGATAATGCATTTTTTAAATTGAACGAAAGTTTAAATAAGTAAATTTTTGTTGCTTATCTCGTGAAATTTGTAAAACATTTTATTATAATGGGTTTTAATATACCTATTTACATCTTAATTTTTCATGTGATGTAGTAGTGTACCTACCCAGGATTTTTCAATAGAGAGGAGTAAATAAGGCTGAACATAGTAAACGTGCAAATCATATAATATAATATTGGGAATGCAATTAAAATGTATCTACTTCTAATGTATAAAGCCTTTTTCTCGAGAATAAATCATATTTGAACATTCCTCGCTACATTTCTAATCTAAAAAGTTAACGTCTTTTGCAATTTTACTTGTTTCAATACCCCCCCCCCCACTCCCATATCACAATAGGTGGAACTAGAGTTATACAATTGAGTGTACGAGACCTTTTATTTGTAATTTAAAGGAGGCCCTAAAAACAAATTCACTTGCTTTGTGCGAAAACAAATGCATTTTCTTTCAAAAAATAAAATTGAGTGTAATGTACCTATTTTAGACTTTGAGTGTAGTGAAGAATGTATTGGTTTTACTAAGATTTTAATCAATTTTTTATTTTTACATTGTGTACAAAAATTCTACTAGAAATATTCCTCAGATATATACACGCAGCACAAAATCTGAAAAGGAATATTGTCCAAATGATACTTTTGTGAGGTTATTTATTGATTTTCCAATCGGTTTTACTTAAAAAGAAAAGATATTTACCGTTTAGATTTTAATTAAATTACTTTTATTAGTTAGTTTTACGTAGGCTAAAAGTGTGATACAGAAAATATTATAATGATCAATTTATGACTGAACGATGATAAATATTAAGTCCTGATTAAAAATTAACAATTTATCTGAGTTAATAATGTTAACAAATATCTATTATGTTCTTATAAATATCGTTCTTTATTAAAAGAGACGTACCTCTGTCAGAATACAAAATAATTAGGTGATGGTAAAAAAAAGTAAAGGGGTTCCCCCTCAAATTGATCACTAATTCTAAATGATTTTTTTTTACCTATCTACTTAATAATAACAGTATTTGTATGCAAATAGACATAATAATAAAGGTTATTATGAAAAGTTAATATTTGCTTTTTTATTTAAATTTTAAAAGCATAATTTTTTTTATTACCTAATGCATTCAATTTGCATACAAAATTGCGTTAAATTTATAATTTGTACACATAAATTTGCGATTATAATTAGCTCTTAATTATTGGATATTAATAATTGTTGTGTAGACTTGGTTCTGTTAACTTTCAGGAAATAAAAATTAGGTAGGTATGTCGTATGTAAATATCAATTTTAAGTAATTAAAAAGATTTTGGAAATAAGTATATTTTCATCATAGGTTCCTTTGGTTTATAAATCTGGGTAGGTATAATCGTAGTAAAGGTTATGTGTGTGTTATTGTGACTTTGTTAAATGAGTTTGTTTTACAAAATATAAAAATAAAATAAAATGTTAAATTTGTATTTTAAGTTAATAAAAAAGGCATTGCAATATCATATTGTACCTATATAGTTATAAATTATCGGCAAAAATGTAAATAATTCATAATTCAGTGGCCGGTTGTATTATGCGAAAGTCATCTAAGGATATAAATATTACACTTTCTAAAAATGTCTATTGATATTATAATAATATATTATTACTTGTATGACGAAAAATTTATACAAGCAATACATTATACAAATAAAACTGTAAGTAATTTATAAATTATATACTTAGCATAATGGATGTAGATTTTTTATTCCATTATCGCATTTTTTTTTGAATATTTGTTTAATATTATAATAGCCAATAGGTACTGTTTGTTTACCCATTGGAATTTAATAATAACATTAAGATATTTAACTAAATTAAGTATATACTATATTATAGTATTGTTGATGTTTGTTTGTTGTGTTACGCACAGTAATTGTTCAATACCACCATTTAATTTCATGTGACAGTGGCGTGGCGATGATATTATTATTGTTATAGTATATTGAAATTATACTGTAATGTATGTGTGCGTGTTTGTGTACATTAATACGAAACTTAAGCACTTAGCAATAATTGGCAGTGTCGTAATAATTATATATTGTAAAATGACGAACGGGTAATATTAATAATATATTATTTGATTATTTTAATATTGGGCATTGTTAAAATCAAGTAGGTACACGCACGCACTTTGAACGTCAAAACTTTTAATTAATCGTTTTAATCTCGTACAGTCATAGTTTAACAGATAATATTAATCAATATGTAATTTGAATGGCCCATCACACATGTCAATTATGAATAATTTATTTTAACCTTAAATGTGAAACGGTTTTTTCAATATTAAAAAAAAACAAAATAAATCGATATACACCGAATTATCGCGATTATTTGAATATAATAATGTTTTGATGATTTATTAGCTAAATCGTACAGTCGAAAGTTTCGACAATAACATCTAATATTGATTCGCAAGAAAATATCTTAAAAAATAAAAACATGTTGAGATAATAGCACTAAATTAACAATAAATTATTTATTGAGGATTATACTCTTGTATTTTTTGTAATCTTAGTTATGATTGAGTAATATAAAAAAAATTCTATATCATAATATGATTTTTTTTGTTTTGTTTCAAGTACTTATATTCAGTACGGTACTAGCTATGTAGTACGTATAAGTATGACATGAAATACTTAATTATAATTTCAAATTTCTGGTTTTTTATAGGGTTATATACTCGTATTTTTATGTATTAGGATTGGTAATATCCGCGTATAGAACGTAATATATGTTAAGTATACGTATAATACACCACGTAGGTACCTATAAAACGTATAAAATGACCAAAACGTATACAATTTTATAATGACATAAGGAACTATACAATTTTTTTCTTTAAAATTTATAATAGTGATCATACTGTATATTTTAAATTTTAACGAGTATTTAAACTTATAAATTAATATAACGAATTAAAAAATCACATCAACTTGATGAATTTTTTTTAAATTTAGAACAAAATAAATACAAAACAAATTTCTTTTTTGTTATTGTAAATATTAATGTAGTTGTTAATAGTTATTAATGGAGATGAACTTAGTAATTACTAATTAATACAACAAATTATCATACAATATATATTAGGTTATTAGTATAATATATGTACAAAATAATGGTTAAATGTCTGTGGTTATCATTTGTCAATATCAATACAAATATTATAAAAACCTGATAATTTAATTATTGTTGTTCAGTGTAGCCATAAAAAACTTTTATATAGTATAAAATGTATAGAACTATTTGTTTTTATGTACGTATAATAGTGTTTTATACTTTACTGTATTATACGTTCCGGCTATATATTATAATATAGGATGAGATACTGTAGTTATTTCTTTGAACTAAACTTATCCTTTAAATCGTGTTTTTTCTTTGGAATTTTCTATAAAAATAAACTGAATACAAGTAAAATAAATTCGAATTTTATTAATAGTTAATACTATTGATTATACGTTTTATTTTTATAACAATAATTATTCGTAGTTATTATTATCTAAGTACATTAATAATTATATCTATACTTTAGGTATACAAGTTTATTATAAATGATATTTTGCGATATATTCGATTATAATAATATGTACGACGGGTCATTATTTCAAAGTATAATAATATTACGTTGTTTTTGAGATATCGCATTATGCATACAACGCATAATAATAATTTAATAAATTATAATAACAACAATAATTATTATTTATTAATATCTTAATTGATAAACCTGCGTATCATATTATTGTGTACAGTGTACGACGTGTGGTATAATATTAAACGATCAGTGTGATGTGTGAAGTAGGTAGGTATACATAGATTAGTTCAAGTAGTATGTTTTTTTTAACCGCATGCGTCTTAGGTTCAGTATAATATTCGACAAAACAAAAAACCTATTTAAACTCCGGTACCGATTATTTTCGCTGTCATTATTCTAAATTTTCGTGCAATGCGTTAACTTTATAATTATTATTACACCTGATTATTATTTAATAGGCAATTATTTTATTATTATAGTGTTTCGTGCTATTCAATTTATACTTACTTGTGTGTTTGTGTGTTTTATTTTTCACAGTCTGATATTGTTTTGAAGTCATTTTGACGGGCGGTAGTTATACGACCGGACTGTTTAGAACCGAAAAAAAAAATTATAAAATGTCCACGTTGACTGCAGCGACCGGTAAGACTTCAAATGGCAAAAACATTGAAGATGATTCCGTATTGTTAACCACTAAAAACATTCTAAACCAATTGAGGGTGGACAATGAATACGACGATGATGACGAAGACGACGATTTAATGCCGTCCCGACCAACACCGACCGGAAGTCCTCCTCCAGTAACTTTGACTACTAATACTACGGCCGGTATGATTACGTTATTATTAATATTCTTCTTTAATAATATAACAATTAAATAAATTTATATATGTGTGCACGAAATACTAGCTGTCCCTCCCGGCGTTTCCCGTGCCAATTTAATTCCCCCTTTTTTCACCACTTAAGAGGAGAGCGTTTTTATAAAATCCTTTCAAAAATTGAAATCAATAGAACTGATTCCATTAATCGTTTCTCCCTGTGTAAAAAACCATAGACAGTATGTATAATGTGTTTTTTGTGGAGGTCTAGTAATTTTCTATCACATCGTATGAACAGACGAGGACTAAAATATTATTAGTTATTGCTTCAAATTCACTGTTCTATAGTTACACAGTCATAAGCCGGATCCATACTGGGACAAACATTGTTGTCGAACTGTACAAAATGTTTCCTGACTCGATGAACTAGTGCTACTGTGCTTTGAAATGTTCGACAACAGTGTTCGTTCAATTTACACAAGATTTTCCGACTTATAAATTGGCAACTTCCCGCTCGCATTATTTATTTGCACGTTAGTAGGTATATTTACGAGTATTCCAGTGAAATATTTTAACAACAAAAACAATAATTATAAATTAAATAGTTTTTAAATTTTAGATTCTGAGTGGAGTGAAGAAGCTTATGGTTTTACAAAGAGGTTTATTTTATTTTATCTGTTAACAACTTTTTTACTAGAAGACTTGCTCAGATTTTTAAGTGTAGCACCGTTTTTGAAAGGAAATTAGCGTGGTACTCCAAAGAGCTAATTTTTCGATTTCTCAAGAGTTTTCTCATATAATTTGAAAAACCGAAAAAAAAAACAGGGAAATATAAGAAATGTAGGTTAGGTATTAGTTAAAATATATTACGGCCTTCTTTTTTTCTGTGAACAACTTTTCTACAAGCAATTTTCCTCCAAATTCTAGTTACAGCAATGTTTCTAAAAAGAAATTTCACTAGGGAGGTACTTTAGAGAAGTCATTTTTCAATTTTCTCAGGATTTTTCTCAGCAATGTGAAAAACCAAAATAAAACATAGGAAAATTGGGAAAAACAAATTTTTTTAACCTTTATATTATTGAAATAAAATAAATGATACAACGATTACACGACTCATTAGGTTATTATTATGATATGGAAGTATTTAAGTACCGAAAATCAATTGTTACGATTTTAAATTCTGAGCGTTTTACTATAATAATATGCACAGTAAATAAATATATAAATTAAATACATATATAAGTATAGTAAAGTCGCGTTTTACATTTTGACTTGGATAAATCTGATCATGAATTTTTAATTCAAAACCTGTCGTATAATATACTTATCATAATACTTCAGGCTACACATTTATTAATTTATTTAGTTTAGATTCTGAGTGGAGCGAATAAGCTTATAGGTTTATAAAGATGTTTATTTTTTTTATCTGTGCGCAACTTTTCTTCCAGCAATTTTGCTTCAACTTTTAATGATGGCAATGTTTCTAAAAAAAAGTTTCACGAGCGAGGTACTTTAGAGAAGTAATTTTTCCTATGCATTTTCATAGAAAATGTGAAAAACCGGAAAAAACGTAGAAAAACTGGGAAAATTGGTACAACATTAAACAAATATTATTAAAGAAAATATATAAAGCCTATTTAATTGTTTTACTATAAAATGACATATATATTGTTGAAAAAGCATCACTATAAACTGAACTCCGCTCAGAATTTTTTTTGTAAGCAATGGTTTATCGTTGCTTACAAGTATACTTTAAATTATCTATAACAGTGGCTGCACCCGTCCCCATTATTCTAGGGTGTCATTTTAATTATTTATTCAATATTTAAATTTAAAGTTTAAAGTTTGTAATAAAACAATAATTCAAAGTAGGTATGCATAGTTAAGCTTGATCCATTGATTTATTATTATCTGCCTACCATATATTAGCATTTATTTTATCGTAATTGCATTTATATAAATATAACTAGAACCCAAAGAGTGTGATAATTGTAAAATAATCATTAGAGTTTCTTGACAGTATAACACGTTCACAATAAATACCTTTATGTTATTCATATTATAGATAGAGTGGGCAAGGTACTCAAAAAAGAGTATCATGTTACATGATACAAACATTAAATGTATTTAAATTCAAGATACAAGATGCATTGTGAAAGTATATAAAATACTAGGTTCAATATACATGATATATTTTCAAATTACATTTTGTAAACTTTATACCTAACGGTTTTTGTAAAATTTTTGAAATAACACTAATACTTATACTAATAAAATACATATTTACTTATAAACAATACATTACGCCAATAGTTAAAAACACTAATAAACAATATAATATATAAAATATAAACATTTTAGATTCTGAGTGGAGCGAAAAAGCTTATGGTTTTACAAATATGTTTTTTTTTTTATCTGTGGACAACTTTTTTACCGGGGAGTTAATTTAAGGAAGCCATTTTTCGATTTTCTTAGGAGTTTTCCCAAAAAATTAAAAAATGGGAAAACTGTAGGGAAACGGGAAAATAGATACAATATTAAACAAATATTATCAAAGAAAATATATAATGCCTAAGTATTTATTTTACCATAATATGACATATATATTATTGTTGACAAAGCAACATTATCTGCAACTGAGCTTCTCGCAGAATCGTTTTTCGTTAATAATGGTTGGTTTATCGTTGCTACAGATATACATTAAATTTCCTCTCTACTACCATCCAAAATTATCATCTACAACTTACAGTGGCTCCACCCACGTGCGAAGTTGCCTGGCTTTTTTATATTTTGAACATGTTACGTGTATATATACGGATGTCCAAATCCATGCAGCTAACTTTTGACATTTTCTACGGCTCCTAACTCCGGGAATTACTGTCCATTCGAATAAAACCTGAAACCCTGAAATTACAGTGAACTTATTATATTAAATATTTTAATCGATAAACAAATAAATATGAAATTAAGATAGGTACAGTGTGCATCGTCATATTGGTAATATTATTCATCTCTTGTTTTTCTCCATTCTAAATCGAAAATAAGTGTGTAATCATTGTTTGATTATACGTATAGCAGATGAGTTTAATTATATTAAATATAACGATAAATCTTAAAAATTAATATAAAAGTCCCCCAATGACACATTAGTTTTGTAGTTATGACGTGATGTCGACCGACGATATATACCAAAATTAATAATAATAAAATAAATTGACTATATTACAATGTACGTAGCAGTACATAATATATATTCAACAAGTGCATTGATATATATATATATATATATGTATAGGTTACGAAAAGAAAAATACTACCAGCCTTATTGTGTGATTCTATTTTTAAAAAAAAAATCATGACAAAATATTGTTTTTCTGCCAACTAGTAAAATACGCTTATATTAGACTGCAGTGACACGAATAAATAACAATCGCAATTCTATATTATAATACTCGTAGTTCATGTTTGTGCGTACTTACGGCGTCTATTTAATTTTTATTAGTTCTGTTATAAACGCAATATTTAGAAATTCATATAAATATTTATCGTGTTATTTACGCATAATAAATCGGTACTATACGTAATAATCGAATATATAAGTATATATTATTATATATTATTAAATTGTATTACTTATGTGCACTGTACGAGTTCTAAATATAAAATAATCCCTTAATGAATAACCGTGGATTAGTGGATAGTAGTGCGGCATCGTCGTTGTCGCCTATCGGATCGCAATCTCCGTCCAAAAATTCGTCGTCAAACTACAGTGCACAGTATCTGAGATCTAAACAATTTAGACGGTTGAATTATCGTAAGTCTCCGACAACGACCGTAATGGCGTGTTCTTCAGATTCGGATTCCGATCGCGAATATCCGCGTAGGTGGATGGATTACCGGTCGGATTACTCGGACGATGGTGAAAATATTATATATACTATAATATATTGATTTAGATTATACCTTTTATATTGGTATTGGCTTTACTATGATGTTTTTTTTTTTATTTAGGTTCTTAGAAAATAACAAATATATTGCATTAAATTTAATTTTTTCTTGTTGATCAATCAGTACAATTTTATATTGAACGTCCTGTTAAATTATCAATCATTTCTATTTGGTCTAACAATTTTGTCCACAGAGTTCCTAGCGAATAAATATTACGTAAAAGACTCTCAAAATTAAAATGTCTATAAATAGCTTAAAAATGGCTCAAATGTTTTGAACATTTTACCACGTATATAAAAGTCAAATATATGATTGCTGTTAATATTTCAATTTTATATAAATATTTTTCACTGAATTACAACAATAAAATAAAAATGAAAATAATAAAAGCATTATTTTCGTACATTGTCCCATCTTTTCTACGTTTTTTCCTAGGTTTCATAATTATTATGAAAACCGCTTAGAAAATCAAAAACTGACTTCTTTAAAGGATCTCCCCAATCAGATTTTCATTCAGAATAAGTGCTGTATCTGAATTGGAAGAAAAATTGCTGATATAAAAGTTGTTCATAAAAAAAATAAAAAAAAAAATAAATATTATTGTAAAACCAATAAGACATTCCTCGCTCCACTTAAAATCTAAAATGGCAAGAGACCTTTTTTATTGAATTTTAAATCGAGTTATTGCATTGAAGCGGTAATTTTTGATTTTCCTATAGGTTTTTAAAAGAATTAGGAAAAATCAAAAAAAAAAAAAAGACTAACGAAAAACCTGAAAGTGAAAATTCATAATTCATTATTTTCGATTTTCTATTTTTCTTATAATTCAGTTAAAAATATTCATAAAGATCTGAAATTTAAACATAATTCTTATGTTAACCTTTTATTAATGTAGTAAAATTCTGGCGATTTTTGAGCTATTTATAGACATTTTAAAGTAGGAAGAAATTAATTTTTGCACTACGCAGTTTCAGTTTTGAGGATTTCCTTCACGTGTGGAGGGTCGCTCTAATTTGGCTTTTGAGACCCAATTATTTTTTCAGAAATTTCAAAAGGAAATAAATGCGCAGGCTAGATTGTATAGGCTAATACATATGTGTGAAAGAATGTGTCATTTGGTTTTGAGAATTTATACGGTATTATTATATTGTCAATTTTGTTATCATTATTAATTATTATAATGTCATTAATCATTTTTAGTCTTTTATCCGCAAGTTTCTTAAACGATTTTTGTTAATTTTCAAGTTTTTACGAGTTATAATAACCCATGAGTTCTAATAAAAGTTTATCAAACTATGAAAGTGAGCATTATTTTAGGCAAATAAAATCCAAAGACTACCACGACAAGTATAAAAATGATACTGCATACTCTTAATTAAGTAAATATTCCGGCCACCAACTAATCCACATCTACCAAAAATACTTCAAAATCTACAAACCGGGGATAAAATCCAAGTTTCTTTGGAGGTCTTTAATGCGATATGTCAAATTTGTACAGTTTAAAATTCTTTTAATGACTTTTGTTTTATAAAAACATAATAATATTTTTTATATTTTTAAACATCCAGGCACCCACGATCCACTAGCTCGTTTTTTTTTATTGTTCACTTTATTCAAATATACTTCCTTCGCATTGCCACTGTTATCATATATAGAAAAAGTGATTGAGATAAATCATCGAGCAAATGTGGCGATAAGGTCTTTTTGAACAAAATCATTTTTAAACCATATAACTTCGCGTGAAGTGGCGTGCCGCACAGTGGTCTGAATAGTAAACTTACGTGGCAAAAAGTTTAAAAGTCCCAGGTTTGAGTGTTGTTTTTTTTTTAATTTTTTTTATTCATCTTTTAGAATTTTAACATTGAATTTAAAGTTCCTAAGAACATATTTAAATAAACTACAACCTCCGGGAAAATACCTTTTTCGAAATTTCTAAAAACCATAAAAATAAAATACTAATGTATAAAATACAATTATAGGGGTTTCCATATCGATATACCTACTATGATAACTGTTTTACTGAGTTGCAACGGATGCTAATAGAAATATTTGAAAATGTAGATATTCAAGATTGTTTAGATCACTAGTTCCCAACCTCTGTGAGTCTACGTCCCTTTTGTAGATTTTGAAAAATCTCGCCCCCCTCTCCTAACAATATGATGAGAAAAAAAAAACAAAAAAAAAGGTCAACAAGATTCCTATAATATATTTGTATAAAAGCTGATAAGTAAACAAAAGCCTTATAAAAATTAAAGCTGCTCGGGCAATTACCCCCTATCACCCCTACCTAGATAAGGCCTTGCTCATAATCTTTTTCGATACCGGTCGTTATTAATTTTAGATTCTGAGTAGAGAGAGGAATGTAATGGTTTTACAATGACGTTTATTTTATTTTTTATTTTTTTTCTGATGACTACTATCCTACCAGCAATTTTACTTCGATTTACAACGATAGCACTTTTTCTGAAAGGAAATCGGATTAAGGAGTGATTTTCTCTGGAGTTTTTCCAATAAATGGAAAAAAATATAGGAAAAACGTAGTTAAATAGGTACAATATTAAAAAAATATTATTAAAGAAAATATATAAAGTATATGTAATTATTTTACCTTAATATAACAAATACATTGTTAACAAAGCAACACTATTAATCGAACTTTTTTTAGAATCGTGTTTTCGTCAGCAATGGATTATCATTGTTTACAGAAATACATTACATTTTCCCTCTACCAGTTTCTTATCTATAATAGTGGTTGTGGTGGAGGTGTGTAGGGGGTAATTTGAGTGACCGTATACAGCACAAGCGGCGGTGGTATATTTTTATTAATAAGCGTTTTAAGTTTGTCATTTCAAAACATGTAAAACCGTATCTCGCTCAGAATATTTTTTCGTTAGCAATAGTTTATTGTTACGCACAGGTATAAAATATTAAATAACTCTATGTATCCCATACTTTCTCAACTTCCCACTAACAAAAGTGGCACACCTATTAGTATTATCAACTAATTTTTTTTATCTTCAACACATTTAACCACTTACATGTGTACCTATTATACTTACATTCTCGAGTATTATTATATTACATTCTCTGGTTACGGCGCACGTGCGTTTTTACACGTGATGATCGAATAGGTAGCCAGGTAATAGGTATACAAGGTGACCCGGTCCTCTCACATCCGTAGGTTCAACTGATACTAGGTTACCTCTATTCGTGCAACACACTTTTAAAAAAAAAAATTAATTTATATTTTTTTTCTGTTTGCAATCAAATTTTCTACCAGAAATCTTAATCAAAAAATGAAAAATCAGCTGGATGGTTAGTGTATAGAAGAGGTCATATTTTTGATTATCTAAGACGTTTTCAAAAAATAATTGCAAAAAATTTGAAAAAAAAAACGTAGGTATTGGAATAACGGACAGACGTTTTTTTCTACCAGAAATATTGCACCATTAATCAAGTGTAGCATTTTTTTGATAAAAATTAATGTTTAGTTGGTGCATGGGAAGAACTTTTTGATTTTTTTTATAGTTTTTCTAAGAATTGAGAAAAAACGGAAAAGTTTACATAATTGTGTTATTATGTTCGATTTAGTTTTTTTGTTGCAATTCCGTTAACAATAATCGTAGAAACTTGATATTATTTTATAATACATATAATGGCTTTTTCTAGACGTGGTAAAATTTTCAAAGCATAATGATGATTTCTAGCTATTTATGACATTTGACATTTCAAGTTTTTTAAATTTTTACTTGGCTCTTTATGAATAGAATTGTTTTGGCAGATCAAAAAAATTTGAGAACTTTACTCAAGGTTTATCTCTAATCTTACTTTGTAATTAAAAAATTAAAAAGTTGAGGGTTATATTCATTTATTTGTATAAACATTTTTTTTTCAGACTATTACATTTAAACCAATTGGTAACATTAATATTAATCACTATTCAGCGAAATACATAAACAATTTATAATATTTATCCGTTTATCCCTTCTCTCCCCCCCTCGAGAATAAATCCTAGTTGTGCCACCGCCACAACAATATTACAGTGCAGTATAATATTGTAAACTCACTCATGGCGCGAAGTCGGATTTGTTTTAATATTTTTGTATATTACAGACAGTGACGATGATGAAATAATGGCAGCGTCTCCGCCTCCGCAATCCGCATCAGCGGTCCTGTCTAATGGGAACTCAACTCAGACAACTGGCGGAGCGCCGTCACTAGTGACCGATCTAGCGTCTGCTGGAGGTTCGTCGTCGTCGTATCAAGTACCGCAGTTTCCCATCGAGCGCATAGAATCTAAAATGGCTGCCATTAGTTCCAGGTTTGATAATATACTTATATTATATTATGTGTATGTATGTATGTATATATATTTTTGAAATTTATTTGTTTTATTGACGTTATTATAGCGTTCATTATTTCTTTATTTGATCGCATTATATTATATTATGTATTATACAATATACATTTGTTCGTTCAAGGATACGTCATATCGTTCATGATGTGTTATATCCCTTTATCGGCTTAAAATGACATATAGGGTAGAAAACTAAACGAGTTTAGATTATAAAACTCGAGCTGAATTAATGAAATTAGTGACCCGGGAGCTGATCTGTATTCTAAGTGCCGCGGTTATTCTTACGATATCCCGTTAGCGCTAACCGACAATTAAATTTACTGAAAACTGACAGAATGCTGTCGGTTATTGCTAACAAATACTATATACAGGAAATAATCCTGACAGGTCCTAAGAGTTTTAATTTTGTTTAAGTTTCTTATATTTATATTGACTACAATCATTTGCAACCTGTAAAAAATAAACTTTTTTTTTTTATTAGTTTTTAGTAAAACTATGATACCTCAACGATTATAGTATATATAGTTAGATTAACCAAAAATACAATAATAAGAAAACTAAAATTTTGAAATACAAAAATACCTTAAACTAAATAGAAAAACCAGCCTTCAAGATGAAAGAAATAATTATATAGATAACTTCCTCGGAATTAGTATTGCGAATGGAACAGAGATTAAGGGAGATATTAAAGAATGTGAGGGAATTGAATAGCTTAACACGTAGTAAATGAAGGGAAAGACAGTCAAAGAGAATATGGGAGAGATCACAGGTGCTTTCAGTGTGATGAAGGGTACAGAGTGAAGAATCGTTTAGACCTAGTTTGTAGGCGTGGGTAGCAGAAAGTGATCGGTACGAAGATGGTTAAAATGGATAAAATAAACTTAACACACATCAAATAGAAAACATATATTTTGTTATAGGTTTTATTGGGTGTTGTACTGGTTAACTTCTTTTTGGCTTCTCAAAAATGATTGAAAATTTGTTTATAGTTCATCATAAATTGTTCTTTTGAGTGTATGGACATTATTAATGTATCGAATATTCGTAATTATGATTTTTTTTTTTTTTTTTAAATACGTTTTATGTTCATTCCAATAAAAATCCTAATCGTATATAAAATTTTAAATAGGTACCTACAGGAAAATTATAGATTCTAAAGCTCCTAGTATTTATTTCGTATCGCGTTATCAGAGCTCGATAATTATATTATAGACTCGTATTTGTATTATGTTTTTGTTTTCGGTAGTTTATTCAGCTTCTAGGATCATCTTGAACATCTCTTCTTACAACCAATCCTCCATTGCTCCAAGTGCTCCAACTACCCATCGCTAAAATTTTCTAATTCAGTTCTCGTATTTTTTTTACCTACATTTTTTTTGGCTGCTTCCAAAAACCACACACTTATGATTTCGATTTTTAAAAGACCGGTAGACTAAAACACCACTCTCCATCGGACATTGTATATAACAAAATACTGCACATTTATAGTGGGTAAAAACCACATAATATTTTTAGTGTAGATAAGATAATACGTTTAATAAGAAAATCGATGTACCTATTGGCTATTATAAACGAAAACGGCAAAACGAAAAAGTGAACTATGTGTACAAACAAAACTAAATTATTATTGTGATACATAAAAAAATATTGAATTTTTATGAAATCGTTGTGACGAATACTTAATTAACGCCTTGTCAATACTTGTACATATAACCCAAAGTATATTTAATGACGGAAATAGTTTGAAGTTTTATAAAAACATCGAAAATCGATTTCAGCCAATAAAACTTTGAATAGTTTTTTTTTTTTTGAATAAGTGTTAAATTTTTGAGTGTGTAAATTGTAAATAATTTTGTTTTGAATAAATATAAATAATATATAATATATTAGGTATACATTATTATAAAGTGTGCGGTTTTGCCCTGTATTTCATCACAAATGTGTGGATTTCGGAATCTTTTTATCTCATTCTTGGCTTTCTGAAAGGTCTTTCCGTATTGGATTCTGTTCCAGTGGTATTGCATATTGGTATATAAAATGTCATATCCAACCTAACGCAATGTTTTTCTAGTATACTTTAGCATACTAATACGAATTGATACGCTAGTTGTTTAAAACAAGTATAAGTCGTGTGATAATTTTAAAGTAGATGCTTATTTATAGTTAAATCTCATATTTAATATTAATGTTGGATTGGGTACCTATTCAACTGTGTACCTATAATTATTATTATCTGTAATAATTAGTCTAGTGCGAAAATCGTAAACGGACACGGTTTTTTATAGAACGTGGCGTGGATTACGTGGGTTATCATAATTTTTTGGTAATATTATCTGAAAAATATAATAGGTATTAGGTATACCTAAAATGTCATAGTATACCCATACATTCTTATCTAGTGAATCACAGTCCAGTCGTTGACGGTCGGCGTGTCTGTATCGTATTATAAACGGTGGTACGCAAACATACCACCTACAGCAGCAAACAAGTATTACATATAGCAGGTTCAATTTATTTAATAATTTTATTGTGGTTATCTAGTTTACCGCTGAACCCCGTGTAGTACCGCAGTAACCGCAGTGTCGTGTGAATCGGGTTTAAAATTTGTCATAATAATATTATTTAAACAACGCGGAGATCCCGTAGTCGTGTACTCGCGTAGAAAATCGCGATCGATGCGCCGGCAATCCGTTTCAAATCCGCCCGGACGGTATTATACGTGTTAGTTTTACACGAGTATATTATAACAATATAATTAATCATTACCATTTGACATTAACACAAGTTATCGTGTGTTCAATACCTATTCGGGTAGATTTACCGCGATAATTTGCCTGATTTTACGAGCAACCACAAAAACTATAGAAGACCGCAAGATTTCGCCGTAAAATCATAATATGTATTCGATATTTATTCCGAATCTATGTTCTTCACTCGTTTTCCGGCCGAATCATGTAGATTTCAATATTTCATTATGCATGCAAGACACTGCGTGTTATTGATTTCAATAGACGACTATCCTCGAACTTTGACACTCACATTATGCCTTTCTACGTTACATGATACACGTATTTGTCAAGCCATTACTAGAAAATACGGTACAGTGGTCCGGTCCTCGTATATCAAAAGTGACGCGCGACGTTTTGAGCAAATCCAAAACCGTTCTCTACTCAGCTGGGTACACCGTCTAAACATTTCCTGTTCGTCGCACGATTACAGGCCATTTCAATTAACTGCTCGGCCTTGAATCACATTATCTGAACGTAATATTAGATGTTATTGTTATTTTACTCAGAGACTGATTGAAGGACTCATCGATGCACCCTGTCTGTTAGGAGCGACTTTATGCATACTAGTCTTACGCATTACCGATAATAAGTATGCAATGTCCATATAGTTAATAACAACTAATCATACTTCTGTAGCTACACTAATCTTTTAGAGTAATTATTAATATTCTCGTAGAGTTTGTAATTATCTACAAGTATTCGTTTGAAACGTTGCTTTTTCCGATTTTATACGATTTTCTCGAAAACTATTACATTATAGTATGTAAACGTCGATAATTTTAAGTATCATTTCGTAGTTGTAAATTATTGTATCAAAAAAACATATTATCATTTTCTATACAAAGTTACCGTGTATGGGTAGGGTTTACATTTATAATTTTTTTTTATAATATATAGTAAACACACATAAATACAGGGAAAAAATTGTATACCTTCATTATAATATATATAAATACTGTATGCAATTGGTGTATTGGTGTACTTGTAAGTTTTCCTACTTCAATATATATGTATATTATACGCGATATATACCTGTACCATACTTTAATATCATTATGACTTAAAATAAGAGGTGTCCACGTTGGTAACCGCCTTGAAAATGAATCAGTATCGTAGATATACTCGTATGGTGGTTGTGCCACAACTTTACTAATATTACATTCGTAGCTTTCTAGTCGTCTTGTAGCTAAACGATTTTTTTATTTTGAATTTTTACAGTGTTATACGCGCTTAAATATCATTCGATTTTAATATAACTATGTAACTATACTATATAATGACGTTTGTATAGTCGTATAAACAATAAAAGTACGTTTGTGAAAAAAAAACATCTTAACTCGGTACGGATTGTGTTTATAAAGAAAAAACATGTTCGCCAATACGGATCAACAACAAATTTGGTGTCTGGAAAGATCGTTCTATGTCGGGTAGGTTTTTTTTCTTTTTAAATAATTTTTAAGATTTTTTTTATTAAAAATTGTCTATATTAGTTATTGATGATAATGACAGCGTGTAGAATTTATTCGTTCTTAAAATATAGTTTTTGTTATTCGTCTAAATTATTATTATTATTTTTTTTTTGTAAGTAGATAAATATAAACTTAAATTTCAATACTATAACTGCAGCATTATAATTTTTGAGTTAGGTATACTTGGAAATATAATGTAGACTATACGCAGATATTGAATTGTAGAAAAAAAAAAGAATATAATCATCAGTTAAGAGTATATTAAAATATTAATAAAACTAAAAACTAAATAATATTATATCATAATATAATGTCAAGTCTAGTGCAAAATTATTTTTCGAATAGGTAAAGGTTTTCGTAAATTTGTTTAGACGATTCAGGATTGAGCAGAATATACGAAAAACAAAATAAAAATTAATTTATATACTTAAAATTATTTTATTATAATAATTATATATTATATGCGAACTCAATGTATTATTTTAATTATATTAAATTTATTTCAATAGTAATATTCGAGATTTTTCCTTGTTGCTAAGGTACCCCAGAAATCAATAAAGATTCAAATATCAAAAAAAAATAATTGACTTACGAGGTGAACTGCTGAAAATGTTGATAAATGTTCCAAATTAAGAACTCATCGATTAGAAGTTCTGCCCTTTTTGAGGTCTTGCGTAAATTAGTTGGAAAGATGCTTCCACACAAAATGTTAAAAAACAAAAAAAAAAATATTGAGAATTTCAATACATTTTTTCACATTTTTAAATTTATGAAATCAATAAATCCAATGATTTTTACTAACTTAACGGTTAGTGTTTTCGGAGAAAAACATCTTTGTAAAACTAATAACGCCTTCTTATATTTAGAATCTAAAATAATATAATTTTATTATTATTATGTTCAGTATAGATTTCTATTAATTTTTTTGAGAATACACTGTAACATCCTATGCATGGTATATTTGTTTATCTTTCACATATGGTTCATAAACCATAATAATAGAAAATAGAAACGAATCGTGTAAAAATTAAATTAAATTATTATTACAATATGAAAGTAAAACGCTCAAAATTAAAAAAAAAAAAAAAAGTGTAAGTCGTAAGAAAATATTGTGAATATTTTCGGTAATGAAAATCACTGAAATAAATAAAATGTTAATTATTAATATTATGGCTTTAGTGGCATAAGTGGTATGAATTGGTTATGATAATGATATAATGATATATTATAATAACGATGTTTTTATTTTTTTGAAAACGTTTGAGATAATAGTACGCAGTATATTTCAATGATTTTTTTAACAAAACGTTGAGAGTATACGGCATATAATATTATGTAGTATGGGAACATCAATGATTAATAACGATATTACAGTGAAACTTAAATTTCTTTCATAGGTATTATACACATAGTAGGTATGTATAAGAACCAAAGGGCAAGTATTTTACGCAATAGCCAAGTCATTAGATACGAAAAATAAATAAAAAGTCATACATCATAGGATACTATAAAAAATTAAATATCTACAAGAAGATTATTTTGTATATACTAAATATATAAAAATATTATGTTATATTTGGCTATCATGTCATTTTGTATAGCGTTATAATAATATTGTTGATATTATTATAATTTTATTATATATACGTGCATAATATATAATGAGTGATTTATAATATAGTAATAAATCTTAATTGTCGCGTTGCTATTGCCAATAAATATTTAAATTACTCTCGGAATCTTAAAAAAAAAAAAAACTTGAAAGAACTTGAATTATATTTAAATATTATGTTGTATCTATAATAGGATGTGGCACGTAGAGAGTTTGTTTATTTATTTAAATTTCATATTATAATATATCCTTGAATATCTATTGCAATTACAGCAGCGAGACACACGTGTGTTTCGCCGTCCGCGCAGTTACCAGATTAGGTAGGTATACTAAATTTACGGCTCAACTTCATAAATAATCAGCAGTCCGTATTTTTATATTATTTTTTTGTCGTATTTACACATAATTAAGCATTTATAATGTGTTTTTTTATTTTTATCATAACGCCAGTGACGAAATTCTGAATAATTTTTCGAATACATTTAAGAGGACGTGGTACACATGCATGTTTTGTTGTTTCCGTCTTACAAATGCATGATATAGTTAAAACATGTTTACGAAGACTACACAGAACTCGCCTGATTTTGGTTTTAGAGTGAAACCACCTATTATAAAATCAAAAGAAAACAATATTCCGAAGGGCGAGACGCTACATGTTTTCCAGTTTTCTGAATATAATATTCAATTTACCTTTTATAATTAACGACTTTTTCAAAAAAACGCAACGGCTAGCCCTCCGGAATATTGTTCTCTATTAATTTTATAATAGGTGCTTTTACTCTAAAACCAAAACTAAGCAAGTAGTCTGCGTAAGCATGTTTTTATTATATCTTGTGTTTGTAGAACGGAAACAACAAAATATGCATTCATAACGTCCTCTTAAAATAGGTAGTTAGATATATTCACTGGTATTCTATACATTTGAACACATTAAAAATAAATAAAATAATTGAAAATCTTTCCATTCGGATCCTTAATATTTTCACTGTCTTGCTGTTATCTTTGCGCACAGTCCATTGTAGTATCAGCTTTATGATGGTATCTATGTATGAATGATAAAAAGCCAAGGGAAAGAAGGCGTCTTCGCCGGAACGACTGCGTAAGGAGATGCGGTTGTAGAAATTAACAAGCCAGATTATTTCAGATATGAATTTTGACTTTGAAGGACGCTGCCCAAAAAAAAATAATAATAATAACGTTATTACATTATGATTCTCATTCAAACGATGAAATAATTATCCAATGTCAAAACTCGTGTCTGTATTCATGAGTGAAGTTCTATACTATTATGTTTTGGAGATCTCGTTCCATACACTTCGATACAGAATAAAATAGATTTGAAAGTATATTATGTACATTCGAGCTTTTAATAACATGCATGAATATTTTATCATATAAAGTAGTGTTTTCTAAAACTGGGGGGCGTGAAAACATTACTGAAGGCACAAGCAGTCATCACGAAGTAAAGTTTATATTTAATAAATTATTTTTGTATTAGAATGTAGGGAAAAAATTAAAAATTAATGAAGTCCGGTTATCGAGTGTCAATAAAGATTACGAACAAGGCCGTATTTAGATAGAGGCGACAAGGGACAGTTGCCCGGGCGGATTAAATTTTTTATAGAGGTTGTTTGTAAAGATGTATTTGCTTATCGACCTTTATACGAATATTATATTATAGAAATCTCGATGACCTTTTTTGTTTGTTTTTTTCTCATTATGTTTTTAAGAGAGAGTGGGCGACATTTTTAAAAATTTTCTAAGGGTGTGTAGAATAAAAGAGGTTGGGAACCACTGGATGTAAAGAATTAAGCTGATATTTTGGTCTTTGACCGTCGGCCCTAAACCTTCGATTGGGTGTTATTATGTTATTTTATAGTGTTGTCTGTGTACTGTATATACGTACAAATCTGGCGATTCACTCTAATAAAATGTTTTATTATTATTATTATTATGATTGAAACAATATTATCGCTTTTCACGTTCCGTACATATTATTGTTTTCTTTGTGTTTATTACTATTGGCAACCATATGAGGCACTTTGCCTATTAATCATACTTTATCGTCGTTGTTTTATTTTTTATATATCCGATAATAAATATTTTTAGATTCTGAGCTCGGAGCGACCTTTTTTTTGTCTTGTTTTTTTATTGACAGGAAGACTCGCTCCCATAGGCGCTACACTGGGGTCGGTTCCTTGTATATAGCAAGGCAGGCATAGCACATTTTGTCTACAGTCGGATAGGTAATTTTTTCGTATTTATTGTGGTTTTCTCGATATAACGTGAAACGGATAATATTTCGAAGAACAAAAACGGATGATATTTTGTTAAAATCCAAATTTTTTTTTTTTTCATTTCTTTAAGTATTAACATTTAAAGTTTTACTGTTGTATTTATATTATAGATAGGTATTTTCAAAATAACCCCGTGATTGTTGTAGGCACAATTATTGTTTATTATTTTAATTTTCTTCAATCGCTTACAGTCTAGCAAAAGAAATGGACGAAAAGCGCGCGGCGGCTTTGGGATTTCCACAGCCCACCAAGGACGATCGGCATTTGTACGGAGACAACGCGACCGTTTCGTCGTCGGTATCGTCGACGGTCACTGACGAGCCCGAAACGGCGCAAACGCCGTCCGCTTCCGGAGGACAATGGCAACAGAATTCGACGGAAGACACCGAAGGACAGTACGACTTTGTGCCGCATTTCCAACGAGTTACCATTGGCGGGGAACACAACAGCGGGGTAATATATAAATATTGTATAATATTTCCGATCAAGTATGAGTACCTGATTATATAATAATACATAGTGTACTCGATACGAGTTACGACGACAATAATATTTTATTTTATCGCAGCGCAGCGCATGCCGCAAAGCCCATAATTTTATTATTATATCCTCGATTATTTTTTAATGTACTAACAATTATTATTATATTATATTGTATATCAAGGCTGAGCTAGTCCGTATAGCGAATAATAACATTAACTCGGTTGAATTAAGTAATTTGTTCGTAAAATTATTATTGTGTCGTGTTATATTATAGCGAACACGATTAATAACCAGTAGAGTTTGCCATTTATATTAAATTGTCCCTAAAGTCGAAGGACTAAACATTTTTTTCAATCGATTATTTAATAAGATAACGAATGCCATGTACATGCGCTTATACAATACGACAAAAAAAAAACCCCGTTTCAATTACGTGCCGATATCGATTCGTTCTATATTTGCTTATTCGTATTACCGTACACGTACCTTTGGAATTTTCGTGGTTTTTTTTTTCTTATCATAAGCGTATCGTATATGCAAATCGTTGATTTCGGGTCTTTCTGATAATATTATAGAAATAAAAAAATCGAACGAAACACGAATTCCACGATTTTTGATTTTTTTTATTATTATTATTTCGAAGTTATCTGCTACAATTCTTTTTTCTTTCCGTATAAATTAATTTCCACAATATGTTATCATATAATGTAGACTGTTTAAATAGGCGCACGAATATGCGATTTAAAAATGTTTACCGATATTTTTAAAACGGATAAGATGACTTTTTTTTTCTGCTTTGTTATTCGCTTATATTACCGGTGGCGCATTGAATTATTATCGTGTCTATGTAAACACGATCTGAATGCCTTAAAAATATGGTGCGTGCCTATTATTGTTATAATTATCAACAGTATACAGTTGATGATTTTCCACTCGCATAAATAGGTCCCTGTGGAAGACTTGCACTGGGCCTCGCAACAGCTGATGGAGGCCTTGCACATCAGAGAACGGTACATGCGAGTGTCGCATCAGCCGTTCCCAACGATCACGTCAAAATTTTTCCACAAGAAGCATCCCAAGTCGCACGGCGATCCGTCGTCGCCGTCGTCAGGACACGCTGCGTCGTTCCAGTCGACCGACAGCGCCACGGACGTGATAGCGGCCGACCAGGGCAACAACCGTGCGGAAATCAGGCAACCGTATCCCAGGGCCCGTGTGATAAAACATGAAGACCGTCAGTCGATCGCCGGTGAGTAACCCGATTTTATATTATTAAGACCGCGGGGTCATCGCCACGCGTTCTAATTTTAATAATAATAATAATAATTTGTCTTCTTCCTCTTCGCTTTCATCAGCCATATACTCTTCTCCTCATCCTCTACATCTCTCCATCTATATATATATATATATACATCAATCATCATCATCACATCTTCATTATTCAGAGTCGCAGAAGCCTACGAAAACCCTCGAATTATCGAGCATTCGAATCGCAACTAAGAAGTTTGAAGTATTGCGAAGAAAATTAAAATAACCTACTAAAATGTTTGCATCTTCGATAGTACGCGCTCTAATATGCCAATTTTAATTCTTTTCGGTCTATCTCTTTCCCGGCTTTCATCTGTATAATAATATTATACTTAAATCCACCGTTTTTATTTCTAATATAAATGATAATAATGTTATAATGTATTATAATGTATTGATGTCACGACGGTACTTACGAATTAAAAATAAAATAGATACAATTTTTTAATATTGTGCATAAAAGAAATAATTGAGAAATATCGTCGGGCGTGTGAGAAAACGATTGCACATAATGTTGTCATGTTATTATATATAAAATATATGTATACGAAATGATACGATTTTTCAACCAAGTTTACGTAGGTACTTATGTAAAATATATTATAATTATATTGTATGATATTTTATTTTATAAATCTGTGTGTGTGTGTGTGTGTGTGTGACAGTGGCGGTTTTTAAAGGAAGGATTAAATTAATATAACATGTATGATATTTACTTATTATTTGAAAAATGACTGTTGTGTGTTATATGCGTATGTAGTAATACACACTGTGTATAAAGAAATACGCAAGAAGGTGTACAGAAAAAGATTTTGAAAAAGAAAAACCCGAGAAACGACGATGATATATTATAGTCGGGGGGGGGAGGGTATTGACGAGATATGCTAGAGGTAAAGGTACTTAGGAAAAATGATTATTTGTGGAGTGTGAAGTGTACGAGGAATGACGATTGTGATAGATATTGTTAGACCGACTGGTATTGTTATGGTGCGGTGGACGATAATAATAGTGAAAAAATCGGTCGTCGTTCCTCCCGGTTAAAGAAAGCCACCACTGATGTGTGTCTATGTATTATTGGTATTGCGGCGTTCCATGATACGTACACACATCGTGATGTATATAGATATCCGAAAACGGGTCTATGTTTCTGATCTAGGAACTCAACAGTCTAGGAAATCGTCGTATAACCCGTGGGCCGACCGACGAAGCTCGACCATGGACGACGCGTTTACCGACCAACTGTTATTCGACATTGCGTTCGGCCAATACGGTGCGTGGTGCGTGCGTGTTTTTTTTTTTTTTTGTCGGGCATGACGAAATTTTTATAATAATTATTAATATAATAATATTATAAAGTTGTCCGATTTGTGTATTATGTGTGCTGGTTTGCTTGCGTACAACGATATTTTTGTTTTATATATTTATATATGTATTTTATTAATTTACGATTAACATTAAAACCAAAATATTAATATCACACACTATACATATTATTAAGGGGAAAAAAATTATAATAATATTCAAATATTAGTGTGGCGGTTTTCACACCAAAGCGATAGGTGACTATGGATCAGCAATCGACAGTAAGCAATAATATTGCAGCCGTTAGATTGTTCTCGTAGATAATGAATAATGAATTAATGAATATTCTCGCGCCGAAGTAACATGTATTACCGTGTTTCCGGTTGACATTTATTATTATTGCCAGTGTTTAGCAATAAATAGTACATGTTCGTGTGTAATTTTGCTTTTTTTCCTTCGTCAGCTGATGACGACATGGTTTCTACTGCATTGCTTCTAAATGAAAGCTACAGACAATACGTATTGTCTGTTGAATATTGTTTGTTGTTAGTTGTCTATTGCTCCGGTGTGAGAGCTGCCCGAGAGTTCTATAATGATATTAAACATTCGCAGCAAGATTATAGCAATAGGTAATATCGTAATTATTCGTATAGCATCAGCAAATTTTTGTTAATTGTTTTTATTTTTTTTTATTTTTTTATCAACACTAATATATTATCTATTTAATATATTTAATATAACCGTATCTATATCAATTATCAGATTTACATTGTGTCGCCTATAATCATAGACTTCAATACATCTAGAAGGAGCAATAGTCCAAAGAACCGGGTAGGGGGAATGTCGTCGTGATGGCAAACGGATCAAGAAGAGGAATAGACTGACAAGTGACTGAGATGTAAGAGCCTTAACAATTCTGGGGTCTGCTCCAACAACACCCTTTGCGTGATTTTTCACTTTGTACTTCTCCGTATTTAATAAATAATAGATATCAACAAATGGTCATGGTAAGAAGTAAAGAAGTCATTAATGGGCTGGGGCAAGATTGACGCAGTCAAAATCCAAAACCAACCTGAAAATCACCTATGAGATGGGGGGATATATAGTATAATGAATGACATGATAGTGTTTGGGGGCGATATTAATACCGGAAGACATAAAGTAAACTGCCGATTACCGAAGAAGAAGAATAAAGAATGGATAGGCTATTACTATACTAGATAATATAGAAATGACCTATCTATTATGTATTATCTATAGACGAATACAAAGTGAACAGTCACTACGGATGTGGGGAAAATAGAACTCCAGGTCCCGAGAATAGTCATTTTAAACGCTCAGTGTGTTTCTCATTTAGTTCTCGGGAAAAGAGTTTTCTATCCACTTCAACACATCATTATACTGAATGCTCCGTCTACATGTATACATATAATTTTATTATAGATCATTAAACGAATAGGTTATAGACTTTTTAAGCGCATATATCACACAACCACCGCGTGTAGTAAAATTGTATAGTTTTCGTATCGTTTTAGTATCGTATATACTATTATTATTACTTTTTTTATAACACCGCCGCCTCCGCCGCCGCATAAATATTATAATAATCATTATTATGCGAATAATTTCCGCACGCTCGTAGTAATAATAATACATTTTATTAAACTGTTCGTTAATATATTATATTATAGTCTGTTTTATATAACCGGTTTCACCAAATTCTAGTTGTAAAATTACATCGATTACCAAGTCCGGATTAAAACTTTTAGAGAGCCCAGGGATAAACTATTCAACGAGGCTCTCGTTGGAAAACAAATAGTATACAATTTTTAAAAATGTTTTAACAAAAGAAAAATAATAAATAATATTGACATCATATAGATCTTTATTCAAAAGCCATATGTATTAAATGAATAAATAAATAAATGTATTATTTTTAACAAAGTTACTAGTACAAAACTACTATATAATAATAAGAGTAAATCATCATCAGATAACGAAAAAATATTAAAATATCAAAGTACACAATTATTGGGTAAATGCATACATAAAGAACATACTGTAGTAAAAACTGAATTCCTTGGGAGTTTGGTGGCCCAGGACTATGGCCCTCCCTGAACTCTCTTAATTCGGGCTTGTCGATTACACTGTAATCGTTGCACTGTCCAACGTTAGTTTTCGATATCACTATTACGAAATAAGTTATTTGAGTTTGTACAACTTGAACCTATTCAATTTTTAAACAAAAATAACTTTTTTTTTTAAATTTATAATATTGAAATAATAAAACCTACGTCGTCGTGCAGTGCTAGTTTTAATTTTTCTATGGTGAAAATTTGATTTCATAATTAAATCTATAGTCTGAGTATTTTTTTTTCCCCGCAAAACAGTTTTTACAGTCGAATGTACGCCCTTATAAGAAGAACACACACGATTTTGAAGGGGTCGCATTAGCAATTTAATCAAAATCTTTTAATTAAAAAAACACTAACATCTATAAACTCGTCGAAAATATGGAAATTCGCTTTCGAATAAAACCAAAAGTGGTCCCGTGTAGTCATTATCACGAATGTTTGTTATTATGTATACCTATCTAATTATGCGGAGATCATTATTTATATAACTTTATCAAAACTGTTTTAGTTTTTCTTAAAACACAACCCAATTTTTATACATTTGAACAACTCAGTATATCATGCAGGGATGTATACAGAATACAATTTTGGGGAGGGGGAAATTCTTAAGTTAAAAATTTAACATTTTGAACTAAAAAACTGTAGTGTATGATAACTAGGAATTTAAATTTCGGAAGGGAGATGGTTGAAATCATAACCTCCTTCTGTATTCGCGTCTAAAATTATAGATATTTAAGTTGTCTATCATTTCTTTTATTATGATTTTACAAAAAGAAAAACACCATGTCTCAAGCGAAATTTTCTTCTATTTATAACCGTTCTTTGAACTTGTAGAATGATGATGATTATGAAAACAACAATGGCACAATAAACTTTTTTTTTTTTGAGTCATTGTAAAACATGAATACAATATTTGGATGTTGAAATATTATCAGTACTATAACCAAATGTGTATTTTTAAATATTACATACAAAATTATATGATTATCTCTAAGATGTATAACAATCTTTCTTCTTTCGATCTTGTTAAATATGAAAGGCACGTATTGTTCAATGCATTTGGTGAAACCGGCCATCATGGTTTTTTAAATTTTTTTAACGAAACCTCGTATTGTATACTATTATGATAATATGTGTAAGATAAAAACATGCGATGGAATTGATTTCTTACAAAATAAAAAAAAGTTTAATTTTCAATTGTTAATGTATCTATTATATTATATTATATTATATTATATCTATATAATGTAATATTTTATTTGTTATATTATATTCAACGAACCAAAAGATAATCATCGTCGTACATAATATATTATATTTACGTGTATTTGTGTATCTCGCACGCTCTAAAATTATTATTACCTTTTATAATATTACCATATTTTCTCGTTTTTGTTTTGTTCACCGATTAATTTTTTTTTTTTCTGACAACTATAATTATATTATGTTGTCATACAAAATAACCGCATCCTGCTCGGCGAGTCATCGCGCTCCCTACGGACCTTCAACGTTTTAATATTATACAAATTATTATTGCCTTTTTGTTTTCTATCCGACAGACCATCCGGTACATCCGCCAGCTAGTGTTGGTGACCCATGGCAGTGCGAATTTCCCCCTTCGTTGGGTTACACGATTCTGCCGCGGGACGGCGTGTTTCAAATGTACACCGACGAGGATCTTGAACGACCTGTCCAAGGATTTCCGTATCCAAATCTGGAAACGTTTTGCCGAGACATGCAGAGGCTGTGCACGATGATATCCGACGGGCCGCTGTACGTGTTATGACATTTTCGTTTAAACACGTCCATCCCCATTTAATATTGTATAGTAGGCAATTTTTTAAACTATATTATATGCAATAATGTACAGGCACATAGTCACACAAGTCTAGGATATCTTTTTTTTTGTGGGGGAAATTTCAAACATAAAATCACCAACTACCAATAATCAGATTTTTTGGTGAAAAGTTTAAATTTCGGGGGTTCCAGATCCTATAAACCCCTTCATATATAATTCTCATAATTTGGTCTTTTTTACAATCCCCTGGGCATTTTATACAATGCCCGGGTATTATATAAAATAGCCACTGTACATATAGATTTTGTAAGTTGTGTACTTGTAAATTATAATTTAAATATGTTTTTGTTTGATATTTCAGCCATTTAGGTATTAATTTATAGGTTAAACTGGATATTCTGATTTATTCTATCAGAAATCTTGCTTCGAAGTATCAAGTGTAGCACTTTTTTTGAAAGGGAATTTTCCTGGGGTGGTACTCCAAGGCGATCATTTTTTATTTTCCTAATTTTCCCAATAAATGAGAAAAAATGCACGAAAACTGAGGAAATTTATGAAAATAATGATTTTATAATTTTAAATTTTATTTTTTTGTTTTATTGTAATTTATTTTAAAATGTTTGTGAAGACTTGACATTCAGACAGAAATCTTATATTTGTCTTTCCTAGACGTGGTACAATTTTCAAAAAATTTGAGCCATTTTTGAGCTTTTATTGATATTTTAATTTTACAAGATTTTTATATAATATTTATCCAGTAGGTACTTTGTAGATGACATTTTTAGTCTAAACAGAAATGTTGAAAAAAAAAAATAAGTTTAATGTAGTACATTTTTTTTTTTATTAGAATTTTAATATCAAATTTTGACAAAAAATGTGAATATTATGGCTCTGCTTTTTAAACATGTGTAACGCAGCTTAGAATCGTTTTTCAATATCAAAAATTAATCGGTATGTACTGATATACATTAAATTCTTCTCTATATCTTACCTTCCCATCTTCTCACTTACAATAGTAGCTCATCCATTATGGGAAATATGTTCGTCTTTTTTTATTATGAGTATTAATAAAATATGCATTAGAAAAGCAATTCACATCATGTGAAATTTCATAGATAATATGATTAATAATAATATTGTTTAATTAAAAACATTGTATTTGTAAAAACTAAAGATGATATAATATAAATTATATAAAATCTGATTGTGTAAATTTATAATTAATTCAAATCAATACCTAAATGGCTGAATAATTTTTCTATTAAACTATTAAGTTATAATTTATTAAACTACACAGATAATCTGTTTCTCGAATTGTATACTTTGGGCCTTAAAATATTTACCTAATAATATATGTATACTTTAATTATAATAGTTAATTAGTTTTTAAATATTCATTACACTATTAAAAATATATTTGTCTTGTCTTAATCACCCACCCACTTGAATTTTGTTTAAGTGGCAACTATGAAAATGGTATAATAATTAGATGAGGAAAATAACAAAATAAAAATTCTTTAAGAAGTGATACCACTAGCACCCATATAATTCAATTTATTTTAAAAACTATTATGACATAGAATACCTCACTTTTTCTGTAGTTGAATAACCAAAATTTCACAATACTCTATAATCTGTACATTTATATCATATTTTTTCTAATGATTATGGGGATAGTTGAGTGGAGAGTTTATGTCAATCTAAGGATTGAAGAACAATAAACCAATAAATATTTATTAAATAAATAAAAATAAATTCATACAAACTGAAAGTTTATGACCAGATAATTTTAATTATGTAAACAATAAAACAATGAAAATTTGTTTTGTAAACAAATATTTTCAAAGATATTAATTAATTAAAATACTAATTTAAAAATTGATTGTATGTATAAATATTTATTTAAATTATGTTAAAATAAATATGAAATTAATTATAATTAATACCTTCCACTAATAATAATACAAAATATGTTTAAAAATAAACATTTTAAAATCTAACATTTCAGAAATTATTCACAATTTATAAAAATTTGGTACATTAAAAAGAAACAAGAAATACTTTTTTTAACCGAAATATCAAATTTAATTTATTATATATTTATAATATTCTTTTTAGTAATAATATTATAATACTATGTTAAATATAGTTCCCCATTTTCATACAATTTAAAAGATCTTGCCTTGTATAAATTATTACTATACTAAATACCTAAAGATACTTTAATTGTAATTACTAATATAAACTGTTTATGTACAACTTTACCATAGAAAATCATTTTGTTACCGTCGGCTGTCCTACTTGTCATCAAAATTCCAACTGCATGTTTTACTAAATGAATTGAGAGAATTGGCATCACAGAAAGCCATACCGCACCGGGATTTCTATAATATAAGAAAAGTATATCAATCTTTTAAAACTTCTCTACATAACAACCTACCACCAAACTAGTTTATTTGTATATTTTTTGTTATTAATAAAGGTCGATACTCACATTCATGCCGCATCATGTATGAATCAAAAACATTTGTTAAGATTCATCAAAAAAACATTAAAAAACCATTCTGATGAGGTGGTTTCAGCCAATGGCATGACACTGAAACAGGTTTTCGAATCGATGAATTTGACATCTTACGATTTAACAGTTGATATGTTAGATGTACACGCAGTGAGTTTATGGATCAATTAAAATATAATATGTTACATAAAATAGTGATTTAATTTAGTAGATAAGAAAAAAGTATTATCTGGTTTGAAGTAAAAAAATAAATAAACATGAAATAATGTAAGCAAATAAAATACTCATTGTATTGTTTGATAAGATGGATTAGACAAAACACAATATTAATATTATAATTTACAAATTTTATAACTATTGTTGATGTATACTATTATGTAGGTAGGTTAAATTTATTTGAAAGTATAAATAGTAGCGCCCAAACAATGATTAAAATGTACCAATTGTTACTTGTGAGGTGATATCTCAAAGGGAATTTTGTATTGTAACAATCAAGTTATAATATGTAGAATTATAGTAGTTGCAAGTTGATACCATAGTAATATAACTAGTTTAATAGTTTAAGAGTCAATTTTGTATTAGGTAGTAGGTACTATAATGTTAAGTATAACAGAAATTTAGATATGATGTATGAACTATGGGGTAGGCGGGTTTGTAAAATTAGTTTGCTACATTAGCAAAATAAAGATTACATGACACTAAATATAAATACTAAAAAAATACATACCATATATTATGTAAAAGTAATAGTTATACTGCACATACATGTAATATCCTGATTAATTTGAAAGCTTCTTTAATAATGGACAAATAATAAATATTATAATTAAATATTAAATTATAAATAGGTATTATATTATAATAATGGACTTAATAATTATTTTATATTTTTTTTTACAGGATCGGAATACGTTTCACAGGTTCGATAAATTCAATGCAAAATACAATCCCATTGGAGAATCTCGTCTAAGAGAGGTATTCTTGAAAACGGATAACCATATAGGTGGGAAATATTTCGCCCGGGTCATCAATGAAGTCGCGGCTGACTTGGAAGAATCAAAATATCAAAACGCTGAACTCCGTCTGTCTATTTATGGTAAAAGCCGAGATGAATGGGACAAATTGGCCAAATGGGCCATTAGCAATAAGGTTTATTCAGACAATGTACGATGGCTCATCCAAATACCCCGTGTTTTGTGAGTAATAAAATATTAAAAAGAGTATATTTATTTTTCTAAATTATATATTATTTATTACAGCGACATTTTCAAATCAAATAATATTTTTGACAACTTCCAACAGTTGTTGGACAACGTATTTTTGCCACTATTTGAAGCCACTAATGATCCGAATACTCATCCAGATCTCCACAGGTATACCATTATAGTAATAAATATATTATGCTTTATCAATTTTTTTCAGCCAAATATTTCGCAATTAAAAAAATATAAATTTATAAGATTTACTCGTATTGAATATCTCTATACATTTTAGATATCTATTTTCTATTTGTTAACAATAATTTCTGTGATAAATTGTTTAGATTTTTGCAACATGTTGTCGGATTCGATAGTGTGGACGATGAGTCGAAACCCGAAAATCCATTTGTTGATCGAGATGTTCCTAAGCCTGCACAGTGGACAGAAACTGACAATCCGCCTTACGCATACTATATGTACTATATGTATGCCAACATGACTGTATTAAACCATCTTAGAATGTATGTTACCTACTTATGTTATCTCAATAGAATATTAATTGTTAAAAATTAAGAGGATGCTACATTCATTGTGTTAGGCATTTTCGAAAATAAAAATCTTATGTAGAGATTTCAAAATATTTTTTCTGGTCTCATTGATTATGATTTAGCATAAAGCAGCCAACGTGAAAATTAAAGAACACAACCTTATCTAAGTAACAGTGATGAAACCAATATGACATTTGAGAAGCAGTTACTTTTCAATTTTTTTAAGATTTAGGGATGTCAGGGTACAATATGAAATTATTTATTAAATATTAGTATTTGTTTACTATTAATTTAATAAAATTAGCTAGGTCAATGAATTATATAGTGTTATTTTAGGTTTGTTTTACTATAAATCAAAGGAATAATATTATGTTCACTAAGTTAAACTCTAATTTATTAATAAATAAAAAATAGTTGCTGACTTGTGTTAATTTTATTACTTTTAATAGTAATATTTTTTTCATTTCACTAACGAACATAATGATTTGCACAAATTTTGTGATTACACAATAAAAATTGGGTGATAATGCGAGATATGGAAATATTTTTAATTTGTTTAAAAGTATATTTGAATATTCTTGGGCTTACATTTTAATTTTTTTCCAAAGTCGTTTAAATTGCCTTTATGCAACCCCTTAAATAGTGGAAGTCTTGACCTATGCATTTTTCATGGCATATTGGCCTAATGATAAATTATTATTTTGTATACTTTATCTATTAATTCTTCTCTAAAGGTATTTATTATAACTGCATCATTATATGTGTTTTATTTCCCACAGTAAACAGGGTCTCAACACGTTCGTATTGAGACCTCATTGTGGCGAGGCAGGAGCTGTACAGCATTTGGTCTGCGGATTCATGATGGCAGAGAACATATCACACGGACTTCTGCTGAGAAAAGTACCTGTGCTACAATATTTGTATTATGTAGCCCAGATTGGTATAGCTATGTCGCCACTGTCAAACAATTCACTGTTTTTGAATTATCACCGGAACCCATTGCCCGAATACTTGGCCCGAGGCCTGGTTGTCAGCCTATCCACCGACGACCCGCTACAGTTTCATTTTACCAAGGTGAACAAAAGCCAATCAACAAAAGTGTTGTCCCTTTAATTATTAATTCAAAGCCCCTATTTTAGATTCTGAGCAAAGTGAGGAATGTAATTTTGTTTATAAAGACTATATTATCATTTTATGAGGCTTAAAAATACATTTTAACGAAGCAAAATTTTTATAATATATTATATTATAAAAGTGGTTGATAACTACTGCATATACTATAATATTCAATAATAATATGTACAATAATAATAATAATTTATATTCATACGTATACGAGGTATGGCTATTAAATAACGAGACTGCTCGCCTAGAAGGCACTCTATGGGGTAGTAAAAAAAAACGAGTAATGCGTTGGGTATCTAGATATCTTATCTATGCACGTACCAAAAAACGTTTTCGTCACTATTATAGTATTTGTGCAGTAGTGGTTTGAAACGAACGTGTTTTTTTCTCATGCCGAAAACCATGTGTGACAAAAAACATGAGCAACGGATAAACGTAAAATTTTCTTGTTAAACTAAAAAAAAACTCCAACTGAGTGCTATAAGTTGTTAAGTGAGGATTTCCTATCTCAGTCGTGTGTTTTTGAGTGGTATAAATTATTTTCTGAAGGTCGAGAGTGCACCGGAATCCAATTCAGTTGTAATCCAAATTCAAAACCATTTTCTTCGATATCAACGGCATCGTGATGACTGAATGGGTTCCAGAGGGTCAAACTGTGAACCAACATTACTATTTGACAGTTTTGGCAACGAATTGCGTGAATGAGTTCGTAAGAAACGGTCGATATTGTGGAAAAACAAGTCGTGGATCTTGCACCAGGATAAAGCGTGAATTGTTATTTGGCCGCTTAAGGCACTCCAGTACTCGAACACACGTCTTACTCACCCGACTTGACACCCTGCGACTTTTACTTGTTTCCGAAGATAAAGTCTGCGTTAAAAGGAATCTGGTTTGAGTCGATGGAAGAGGTGAAACAAAAATCGGCGGAACTCCTGAATGGTCTTACAAAAACAGACTTCCAGTATTGCCTCGAGCAATAGAAGAAACGAATGAAACGGTGTGTGGCGAGGGGAGGGGAGTATATTGAAGGGGAGCATTTGAATGTAGAATAACTTTTATAATAAAACACTTTCATCACCAGTCTCGTTATTTAATAGCCACACTTCGTATATGAGAAATAATTATAAAATACAGAATATTTTTCTTACAAATCAGCAAATAATCTAAAAGTCTTAACAATTTGTTTACCAAAATCTTCCTCTTCGATTGTAAATCATACAACTATACAAGTAAATAGGTACTCTTAATTTCTATTATTTTATTATATTCACCATTTGTTTTATACATATATAATCATACATACAACTATAAATGCCCCACATTACGGGAATTGAAAGAATTACTTATCCAAATTTAACACTAATAGTTGTGCCTTTGGTTTAATATATTTATACTATATTTTGTATAATAAAATGTATATAATAATTATGTACAAATCGTTTTAAATTGATTTAATTTTTCAATTTACAGGAACCGTTGATGGAGGAATATTCTATCGCGGCTCAAGTGTGGAAGTTATCTCCTTGTGATATGAGTGAACTAGCCCGAAACTCAGTACTGATGTCTGGATTTCCTCATAGGGTAGGTATACCTACCTATATTAATATTATTTTGTTATTTGATGTTTAATTGTTTAATGAAATACACCAATCTCCAATTATGATAAAGACTATAAAGTATACTTATGGGTATTATAGAACAATATAATGTTGAAATAAAATTTAATATTGATAATATTTGGAGGAAAACAATATGACACACATTGCTCCGTATAAGTGGTTTTGCGTAACAAATCGTGAATTATTTTCGAATCAAGTTTTGACATGAGTTCACAAAATATAAAGCCACTCTGATTAGGAGTAATATGCAAATTATCTAAATGTTTTTGAATTTTCTTTACAGAACTATTGAAGGCTTTTGAAATATCTCTTTATCATAGTATAGATTATTTATATTTTCAATCTGTATCAATGTTGGATGTTATTTTTTTCATGAAATATAGATCAAGCAATACTGGCTGGGACCCAATTACACTAAGGAAGGAGTGGCTGGAAACGACATATCCCGAACCAACGTACCGGATATCCGGGTGGCATACCGTAACGAAACACTATTGGACGAATTGGCAGTCATATTTGGCACCAAAACTACTACAAACACAGCAGTTATCCCGAACACCGCTGCCAAAGTGAACCTTGTAACACCGCCCAGTAGTAATTAATTTTACAAAGGAACCCAAACATATTATTATTCAACATTAACGACATTAATTTTATCATTATCAAGAGTTATATTACAAATTATTATATATTCAATATTATATTCCATATTAATTGTAATATTACACATAACAAACTATTTATTATTTTTCAATAATAGTCATATTATTATTATTACTTATTTTAATTTTCTCCCTTGCCCCATGAACCCAATTATTTAAACTTATAGACAGTTTTACCTATTGATTTGTTTCTCTATTAAATTTTTCATAGCTACCAATTGGTCTGTAATTTGTAATACCTAATAATTATTATTCTAGTAATCTTAATTGTTTATTATATTTTATTTGTATTATTATGTATAGGTAATGATAATATTATGTGATACATACAGATCTACTATTTCAACCTATTCAAATTTTATTGTAATATTATATTCTATATAATCCGCCTAGTTAAAACTCATGTGAAAAAAAAAGTACTGACAAATATTATTAACACACACACATACAATACTTAATTTTTATTATAATAAAATTAGAGGCCTATTACTCTATTGGTATAGTAGAAGTATAATGTTTTTTTTTTACTAACTTTTTGTGTCCATACAATAATATTTTTAAATACCTTTATATAGTTTATTATTGATAATTTAGATAATATATTACGTGATATTATAATATTATATTTCTCTTATTTTTAGATTTTCAAAATAATACATATTAGTAAATAAACTTAGTTTTTCATGTGTCAAAATATTCAATATACAATATACAATTATAATATAATATTCGCTATATTATTATTTATTAAATTGATGTATAAACCTTTATAAAAAAAATTACCACAACATTCATCCTGACTACAGATGAAAAATATGTTGGTTTTACTATGATGTGTAGAAATTTAGAAATTTGGATTTAGCTGGTGCATTGGGGAAGTCATGTTTTGATTTTTTAACTAGTTATCATAATAATTAAGAAAAACTTATGAAAATCATAAGTACGTAATTTTGAAAATATTACAATTATTTTCAGAACATCATAAAAACAGAAAAACTATTTTACACTGAATTGTTTAATATTTTTATAGGTACTGTATTCTTAATATTTTTTACTTGTATGACACATATTTTTTTAAAAAAAAATTGAGTTTGTTTAAAAATTCTAATTAATTTAATCAATTATCAATTTTATTTTTGATTAGTGTTCAGGTATAAATTAATTTTTATTAATAGAAGTTAAGAAATTTAATCTGCTTAAATTTTAAATATGTAGGTAGATTTATTTTTCATTGCATGAAAAATGTATTCCAAAAGCGAAGATATAAGTAATTCTGTATTTTTTGGTTTTTATTAATTAGGTACTTTTTTATTATTACTGTAATGGGTATATTTATGAAAAAAAATGTTTAAAATAACTACCAACCAAAAATAAATTATAAATTAATTTGATTCATTGTATAGCATCCCATCTAAAGGTGAGTAAGGGAGAAGTCCTCAACAAATATTTCATTGGAAAAAACGATAGAAATGATAAAAGGCCAAAAATTATTGTTCCCCTGAGTAGAAATTGTCTGGCTACGTGCCTGGTACTATATTTGGATACAATTATTTGACTAAACAGAAATGCTTGAAAATTCAATTTGAAGTGCATTATAAGTTGTACTTACTTAATGGTAAAATAGGACGAGCTTTGCACAATAGGTGAGCTATTATTGTATAGGTGAAAAGTTGGGAAAGTAGGATATATATAGGCATTATGCCTATAGGTAGGAATTTTTTTTTCCTGTGAACAACTTTTCTTCAATCAATTTTGCTCCGATTTACAATAATAACACTTTTTCTGATTTAGATGTAAGAAGAAGACTTAGTTGGTGAGAATAGTTATTTAAGGTAAAGTGTTTAGCATGAATGAATATTGATTGCTGTCCATATTTAATGTTGACCTTAAATAACAAATATTTTTATTGTAATGGTTGTGTTTGAGATAAATATCAGGGCAACTGATTTGTCAGAATATTAACTTGTATCGAATCAATTGAAGCTTCATTGACTTTTATCCCCTATCCTTTATACTAATCCTATAAACGATTTAGATGGCTTTGAATGAGGTTTGATACTTAGGAGTGCTAAGTGACTTGTCATCAACAAAGTTACTGAATGTTTTAAAGGGGGTTGTGAGTTGGTTTGAAGTGAATAGATTAAATATAAAATGTATAGATTAAACTATGTAATATTTTATGTTCTTGATAGTGTTAATTGTTAAGACCATTTGGAATAGTTTTTTAGATTTCCTAAAATTGATTTATTTGAATCAATCATTAACAAGTTGGCTCTGGTGTTCTGGGACGGATTTTATGAAAAAAAAAAAAAAGTTGTGAAATATAGTACTACGGGTAATTAACTACTAAATAGGTAAGTATTTATTAAGTCGATTAGTTTGATTATTTTGTTATATAGTTGCTATTTTTTATCCTGGTTACTTTTATCCAATTTAATCCTTGAAATCTGTAATAATATTAAATATTTAGTTTTATATCTATTTTGAAATGTGAACAACCGTATGTTAAAATGTTAAAACCAATGTTATTGAATAACTTAATTTAGGTATATTTTATTTACTAAAAAAAAAAAGTTCAATTATGATTCTATTTCATAACATTGATAAAATCTTTTGATCTATAGTGTAGTGTATTAAAATATATTGGGCTGGTGTTATGTTTTTGTGGTGTATTAACTATCTACTGTTATAAAAAATTTAAAATTTACACCTTGTTAATATTAACTAATTAAGTAGGTATATAATATTCAGTGAACAATAGCAAATATAGTAAATTAATTATTTTAAATTTGAGTATTCCTTCATGTGTTGTATCCATATTTAACTTTTTTGTTTAATATCCTGTGAATTTTAATTTTGGCACACAGGAGTAAATACATTTTTGAATTTGAATAGATACAATTTGTGAATATTATCTGGGATAAGTTGCAAAAAATGATTTTTTAAAATTAACATAATTTGTAATTGTATTCTATCGTCACAATTTTATAATTAAAGAAAAACAATATAATCATGTACGGATTATTTAAACATACATAAACTTAAATATAGTAAAAATAAATTTTGAAAAATACTGCAAAAAAGTTTTTTGGAGGATAGGGAATTTGCTGGACAAACGTGATAGGCGTGTTAATTATTGATACCACCACCAGCCATGGTGGAATCGAACATCACGGAGGGAGACTCTTTTAAGGATCCTATTGATTGAGTAGTGCAGAGGGAAAATGACGAGAGCAGCCGAGCGAAGGTTCAACACATCGTGTCGAATCCCGTCGCGAGTTGACTTTCATATCCATTTACACATACATGGTACAACTACTACCTAATTCAACCTTCTGCGTGAATTAACGCGTATAAACGTGCAGTTGGTGCTCGCCATACGGCGATTTGGATGGCTGAACCACGCAAGACTTTACTGTTAGTAAACGATTTTCGTGGCGTATTGAGACGTTTGTGGTAGTAGAACAAATTTTTCAAGGTAGTAAGACATTGTTGTTATTATATTTCATCTAGTACTTGTTATCGTGGTCAGTTGAGATATAGTGCATTACTGTCCTAGTAAAAGAGACCTCACGCTCGAACATTCAGCACTCGTTATCGAGGTCAGTTGTTCGAGTGTAAAGCGAATGTGAAGTGTAAAGTTTTAATTCTGCCTTTAATGCCTTCTGCCATTGTGTTTTATACAATTTTATTTTATTTCTAAAGTATCTTCATCCCTGTTATTTCTGGTACCTACTTTTAATTCAAAAACTAACTTCATTAACTTTAAACAAAAAAAACTTCAAAGTTTTGAATATTCACTAATATTGAATTGGCATCAGGTCCATGAGTAAAGTCCGTTTCATTTATTTTTCTAAGGTTGAAACAATAGAGCTACAATTGTTTATAAATATTAAAATGAACGCCCACCACTACACCAGTACCGTGGTCAGGAAAAAATGTTGTGGTGGAGGAAAGGATATTAAAAATCTGTATTACATATTATAATCTAGGTACTAATTTTATAAAACGATAGAATAAAACACACGGCGGAGAGGCACGCGCTCCCGGTGACCACAGGTGGACAGAGTTACCAGGAAGCCCGGAATATTCCGGTGTGTCCTCCCAGTGGTGGCTCGAAGCAGGTACCTATATTTAAATCATGTGATTCACAAAAAACCGCGAGGATTAGTGAGTGGGTGAGTAGACAATTTTATCGGTGATTTAAGGTAAAAATACTTCGACCCACCACTGGGCCCCTCTACGGAGCTCTTGGATATCGCTCTTGGTAGTGATGGACACGACCGAATGGAATCCATCGAACTTGTTACGTGCCCACATGCTATTATAGGTACACACGTGTGAACCCATATAAAATTGGTAAAATTGTTTTGCATACTGGTTTATTCAAAAAAGGAACCACACCAAAAACCGGGAGCTAAGATTTCTAAGTCCTCGAGGTTTATGCCATAGGTAAATCTTTTCCTACTTCTTGAGATAAGAATATCTCCTAAAGCCTTATTACTCGTGTCTGTTGTTAATATAAATAGTTTTGTAATATCTGGATAATATGGGTTTTGAATATTAAGCATTTTTTAATTTATCAAAAGATTTCTGGCAAGCTTCGCTCCATTCAAATTTTACATCTTTTCTTAATATTCATTATTGGTTTTGCGATTGCGCTCTATGATTCTATAAAATTTCGATAATAACCTGACAAATCTACAAATTATTTAATTCCTTTTACATTCGTAGGTATTGGAAATTCTAGAACGGATTTTATCTTTTTCGGATTTGGTTTTATTCCGTGTTCGGTTAATATGTGTTCTAAATATACACATTCCCTTCTTAAAAATTCACATTTATCGGGTTAGATTTTTAAATTATTATTTCTTAATCGTTCAAAAACTTTGTGTAATTTATTATTATGATCGATTAAATTTTTCCCGTAGACGATTATGTCGTCTAGATAGACTAAACATTTTATTCCTGCTAATACAATATTCATAAGTCTTTGGAAGGTGGGGGGGAGTGAAGTTTTCATTTCCATTACCATTCGTTTAAAATGAAAATATCCATGATTAGTCGAAAATACCGTTAGTTCAGGACCTGCCAAGGGTATTTTGTAAAATCCTGATGTTAAATCTATAACGCTAAATAACTGACATTGATCTAACTGATCAAGGGTCTCCGTTATATTCGAAAGTGGATGATATTCATTACGATTTACTTCGTGAAGTGCTCTGAAATCAAAGCATCTGCTTTCTTTTTAACTAATAGTAACGGTGCATTCCAAGGACTCATAGACGGCTTGATTATATCGTCATCTAACATTTTCTGAATTTGGGTATTTATTTCCCCTTGTTGGGAAAATGGTTCGCGATAAGGTCTTCCATAAATAGATGGTTGTCCCTTTTTGTGAATAATCCGGTGAGCACACATTTCACCCATTTAATACGGGTTCACACGCGTGTACCTATAATAGTGTGTGGGCACATGACAAACAATCGGTTTACCCTGCGGGTATGGTAGTTCGTGTATTTCTTTTCGTGCAGGGTCCCTTTTTGAAATTTCCCAGTAGATCAAATTTGCGTCCTACCGGCTCACGCCGGTGTCCCATCCACCCCGAATACGGCAGTAGTCCAAAGCGCATAACTCCCGAGCAGAAACGTTTTCTCTTCCAAACCGGATCGAACGACAGTATATAGTATTATTATCATTACGCAACAACACTCGAATCTCCACTATTTATTAACTTTCCGGGAACCTATACAAAAAATAATTCCCGTCGGCCAATCCGGTAAAACCGCGTTTTATTTCCGTCTAATCTCGTTGCAATAATAATATTATCGTTATCGGCGCTCGCCCGGGTTCGTTTCTATTTCTATTTATTCCGTAATTGTGTACAATAACAATATTATTATCAATAATAGACCTACTTATCGCTCTGGCGAAATTCAGTGCTTACAGTTCGGCCGTTCAGACGGCAACGCGCAGTTGACTACGCGTATATTATATCAGTGCGGCAACGACAACGACATTTCAATAATTATAACTCATATTGCCTATTTTTTATTAAATTTTCGTATTCGTCAAAGTGAATCAGTGAAATCGATTCGAAAAAATCATCGTTACATACCCACGATATTAATACCGGAGCACCCGTCGCCGCAATGTTCAGGTATTCCCGGGACAGCGATCGATTCGTGCCCGACCGGTCCCGCGATCTGTACTCGTTTCGATCCGTGGACCGCAATTACGCTCCGGATCACCAGTGCGTGTGTCTTTCGCCGGCCGACAGCGACGAGTCCGTAAGTATGCCTATTATATAAACGTACAATACCTATACTATTACAATTATCAGTGGCGTATCGACGGGGTGACGTGAAAGGCGATGAGCCACGGGCCCGTGATACTTTTAGGGGCCCCGAATCAGCTGGGCCCGAGGCCGTTATAGGCGAATCCAAACACGAAAATGCGATGATCCTTTTTTTCGTTTGTTGTTAAGTAATACGAGTGGGCGGACGGGTGTATGAAAATAGGTATATTTTTTTTTCCATTTCGCTCCGGTCGATTGAGTCCCGACCCGCGTACTGTGCACTTGGCCATCAATTCGGTTAATCCAGAATATTTTGCCACGGGTATTGTAAGTTATAGTTTCGCCACTGACTATTATAATATTTTGTGTAGCCCGACAACTACGGGGACCCCAGATAACTCAGAAATACACGTATGCTATTTAGCTGTCCAGCCCGGCATTGCCCCCGTCAAAACATTTACAGTCCAACCATATGTTGTTTTGGTATGCATAACACTAATATCAAATTTACCGTCCGGGTACGAGTGATCAATTTTTAAAGTTTAGACCGGAGAAGTAGGGAAGAGTTATCAATTTATCATTCAAAAATAGACATGCCATTTATTATACCCTTCCCTACTCGTCTAGTCAAAACATTAAACTAAAAAACCACTACTCTCTCCCGACCCAAATTTAAAAGTGGAATATCTCGTCAACGAACTGACGGAAATCATTAATGTCAACATCAACATTTATTTTAACTAATGCTCCGTATATTTATAGAATTTTTAATACGGGTTGCTGTTTGAAAATTAAATGTCTGAAGTCGTTTCACCACCAACAATTAGGGTGACAAAAAATAATGTAAATGTAAAATTCTAGAGCTACTTGTTTCTAAAATTGTCTATAAAACAGATTCCGTAAAAAGTTAATACTTTCCGAGATAATGAGTGTTTAACGACGAAAGAATCACCCGGTAATATTTATTGTCTTAATGCAGCTTTCGGTATTTACAGGGACGTAATAATTTACTGACCAGGATTTTACTAATCAAACTAAACTGCCCCGACCCGGGGCTCCTCGTTTTCCGACCGGGCTAAAATTTAGAACAATCATCCATAGGCACACGGTCGACGTTATACCCGAAAATCAGCTTTTCGTTAACATTACACTCCCTTCAGGGGCGAGAAAACTATACAAATATCGATTAATTTCCCCGACCCGAGTCACTCGTTCTTCGAGTTCACTCAATTTAATGACCCGACTGATTAAATAATATTACATTTGTAAAAGTATGTACAGAATGACTACAAATGAACACCTCACACAATCACGATGACTGCACGACAATGCAAAATAAAAGATCAATTATTTGATTCGGAAATTGGTGGGAAATAATGTTCGCGGGCCATTCATATCGAGCGATTAATCGTCTAATGTAAAACCGAAATGAAATTAGCGATTAAAAACCGCTGCGATTTAAAATCGCGTTCGCCGCGCGAACATTCGCTTCGTGTGAAACAGTCTTAAGAACAGTAATTTTAAGTACATCTTTCGTATTATGCGATAGTGCATGTCGGGGGAGGAGGCTATTATTAGTGTATATAATTAATTTAAAACAACCAATGGAGAATTGATTTTTGGACATAAGGTCGACACAAGGACTATGTGCTTATGGATGACTGTTCCGAATTTCAGCCCGGTCGGAGAACGAGGATCCCGGGTCGGGGCAGTTTAGTCTGGTCAGTGAAATCCGGGCAAGTAAATTAGTATTCCCCGTATTTACATGTTTATTTATTAGAAAAACCGCGTTATAATCGATTAAGTTATAGGCACCTACATATACAAGGTACGATTTTCACGTTAAACAACCAACGACGATAACTTGTGTTAGAAATTAATATCCGTAAACAGTATTAACCGATTCTACGATATGTCTGGAAAAATGTCCGCCCACGAAGCGCTTCCTGAGCAAGCTCATAAGTGACAATATTATGGTCCGGAGGTAGCCGCCGAAAGTGTCCAAAAGTAGCGGGAAAAATTAATATATATGTACATAAAATGCACGATACAGGATAACATAGTCTCTATTTTCGGGGAAAATTCGAAATGTATATATTGGATAAATTATTATTATTGTACGTTCATATTTTAATAATTGGATAATCGGGGATGATAATACAGAGGTGTACGCGCAGTGTTTTATAAAGATACATTTTTAAATATTTAGATAAAGATAAGAGATAATTGGCACAAAAGTTATCTAGATGAAGAAAGAAGATATATTAGAATTTAACTATCTAGATAAAGATACAATTATACAATTTTTATTTAGATAAAAAACAATATAGTTGTTTAATAGGTTAGCTATTTATGACAAATCTAAGTGCTTAAAGTTTACCAAATTTATAACACATCTAAATTTCAAAACAACTTTATTTTTAATTTTACTCAATAAGCCAAATAGTCTGTTATTCACTTAATTATAAAAAAAATGTTTAATGTTTTTTAATTTAAGTTCAAAAAGTTAGCACATTGCAATTTTTAAGTTACAATAAAACGTTAAATATGGTGTCAAAAACCTCGAGGAAAAATATAAATTAAAGTTAAAATTTTCTTTATATTTATATTATTTTTTTTTAACATTGCATTAATATTTAACTTGTTAAAAAAATAATATTAATTTTAATTTCTTATAGTTGTTTGAGCGATAATAAATAATAACACCATTATTAATCATTTATATAATCGTATCTATTTACATATTTACAAGATATTTTTGGGACAAAAACCCACGAGTCGCCGTGCTCCAGCTGGCAGTTGACGGTCGTCGTCGCTTAGTCAGTCACAACAATAATATTGTTATCAACAATTTATTAATTTGTTACAAAAATAAAAAACGAAGATTAAAATATTTGTCACTGAATAATAATACAACAATATATTAATATAGGATAACACAAACCATTGTAATTTAACCTTTATCCGTTGCAAACAGTGGCTGCACTCGTCCCCATTATCTTAGGACGTCTTTTTGATTCCGAGTGTAGTGAGGGAGCTTTTGGTTTTACAATCCTGTTTATTTCTTTCTTTCTATTTTTTTTTTCAGTCAGCCGAATATCTATTACTTTGTGTTGACTATTATGGACTTGGGAATTCCATTGTAGCACACTAGTGTCCAACTATTTTAACCTCATTAAATCAGATTTGATGTTTTTGTAAAAAGTACTAAATAATAAGCGATCGAAATTATTAACAATGGTGTTTTTAATTAATTAATGTGGGGCCTGGAGTATTAGGATATGTGTATCGTACAACATCGAATTAAAAATTCATCATCAGGTGAACCACAAAGCCAAAATGGAAAACGCGACTGAATATGAAAAAATAAATGAAGGAATTTGAAAAACAATTTTACAAATTGGTCATTTTACATAGAAATAATTTATTTTAATAGGAGACATTATTAAAATGAGTTATTATTAGACATAAATGTGTTAAGAAATATAAACTATTTGGTTATTATCTAAAATGTGTTGATATTAAATAATTTTATTTTTAAAATAGGTTTCTATATTTAAAATATTGTTAAAATTATTTTTCTTTATTTCATTGTATATATGTAATTCTTCTAAAACTGAATTAATGTAAATTTTATTTTGGGTATTTAATATTTCTAAGCCTGTATTGATATCAAAACTTATATTATGGTTATTTTCTAAAACATGTTTAACGAAATTTGAATCAAGGGCAGTCTTTTTTAATTTTATTTCAGAAATATCTTATTTATATCTTATTTTAAAATGTCTATTTGTCTTAATTATATAAAATTTATAACAGTTACATTTAAGTTTACATATACCAGCATTATCAAAAGATGGGGGATTTTTTATGAAGTTTATAGTTCTTTATTTATATGTTTGATGAAATTATTATAAGTCTTAAAAGCGATTTTTACATTATATTTTGTATTATTGTTCAGAATTTTAGCGAATTTGTTAAACATATTATTTTGATATTTCATACTTCAATAGTTAACAAAATTATTTGGTGAATTGTGTTTCATTTTTTCTTTAATAAGTTTATGAAGTTTTTTAATAGTATTTCAATTAAAATTATTTCTGTGAGCTATATTATAGATAATATTGTGTTC